TGCATATTTAATAGACTTAAAGGCATGTTCCATAAGTGGAAATATGATCAAGTAAATGTAAATATCCCCACTTGAGGAGACAAATACACAATCCACCGTACAAGAAGAAAACATGTTTTTTGTTTTTTTTGTGGCATGAAATATTTCAGTGAAAATATGTTTCCTGTCCCTTGAGGCTAAACACTCAAAAGCACGATATCTCCATCCAGCTCTTGTTCCTCTCTAAATCCTCCTCTGTTATGTGAGTAAAGGACGTGAATATGGAACGTCTTTCTCTGCTCAAAGCTACAAAACGAATATGAAGGCAATGAGGATAAATATCGGATTATAGCTGTATGTCTCTATTCATCAATCCATCCATCTGCAGTGAGTGAAATGATAAAGTGACCTTACTATATGATCAGACATCAAGGAAACATGCTTTGTTGAAGTGCTGGCTTCTCTGACAACAATGCAGCAGCAGTATGTCCTCCTTCTAACTTTAGATTCTGCTCCTGAATGCTCTGGATTTGTTTGGACCAGAGAAGGTAGGCGGTTTTAAGACACCCCCCACACGGCCGTTTTGGACGCCCCTCAGTTTACCAGATATGAGAGCAGTTATCAGGTCAACAGGTGTTGCAGTGATGGAAGCAGCAAGAGAAGTGGTTCAGATAGAAGTGATTGTACCCGACCTAAAAAGCCTCTGCATGTTTCTAATAAGCTCCACGAGCAGAAACGTGCTCAAACTAGAATCAATATTGGAGATGCTTTTGAAAAATGGAGAGGTTAGAACACAGAAAGGTTTACAGACCGATGCAGAGCTGGATAAACACTGAAGCTTCAGTGTCCACCACATGGCGACCTGTGTGAGCATTGACTCTAGAGGGGGGGCAGCTCTCTATGATGTTTAGAATTTGGACTGCAGTACCCATTTTAAACACTAGGTGTCAGAGTTACATATTGCTCTTTGAAATCCAATAAATCGTATCAAAAATCATATTCAGGGTTCTTGTGTCAAATGTCAAACTCCATTTTCATTACAAGATAAAAGCTTAAAAAAGGTTTAATGTGTTTTGTATATATTTTTTATTGGCCTCTAATGTAAGCTGTAGCACAATCCAGTCAATAATACTGCTCATTGTTTTCTGTCTTAAAGTTGCTTTAAGACACACACCGGCCACCATATCGATCTGTTTTTGTGCATTTTCTGCAGAAATGCAGATATGGAGGAAAAAAAGTGCAGATGTTGAAAGACTTCCACCATTTGTAATTGTTCTGGGATAAAAAACGCCTGCTTGCGTGTTTACGCCGTGAGTGTGTCAGCCTTTCTGAGCTGCAAAGCCCACAGGGTGTGCTGCGCTGGGATCCCTGAGTTAATAGATTTCCATCCCTGGTGCTTTGAGTGTGTTGATCTCCTGCTGACGACTTCACACTCTGCTTTAAGCACAGAGATTGGTGGGTTGGAGGGGTGGGCGGCTTAGAATAGAGCCTCCTTAACACTGCAAACATTTGGTTAATGTACCTTATTACTCCCCCATTGAGCTGAATTTCACTTTCCATTCACATGCTGCTACAAAAGCACTCCTGAAATTCAACGTCTCGCACGGGCCATTGATATTTTTGCTAACAGGCGCAATTTGTTAAATCCCACAAAGAAATATTTGTTTCTTAATTCCCCCCCCCCCTCACTGGCCGAGGAGGATCAAGGGACCCTTTAGGAAAGCCTCCGATGTTAATTAAACTGTATGTTCGGTGTTAATTCTCTCCTCTTGTGGTCTGTGCTCTGTTGCTGTATGTTTTCTTTCCAAACATGGATGCTCCCAGCCATCGGCGCTGCACTGTTTGTTGTGCTTCCCTTGTGCGCTTGTCTCTGTTTTGTTACTCTACGTTCTGAGCTCAGCATCACACAATTCTCCTTCCTCCACGCTGCCGGCTTCTTCCTCCTCCCCGTGTCTTCCTCTCCCTCTGTAGATATATTTGTGTTTCTCTATCTTTGCCTCTCTACTTCATTCGGTTTCCCCTTCCCACACACACCAAGTGTCCTTGTACTGTGGGCAGCTTACATGCGCACACAAGCACTTGAGACAACTTTTTTTTCATACCACCAAGCCACTTAGCAGCTTTATATAGCAACTACCCAAGGAGAGGATTAACAGCAGGAAACATCATCTGAATGGCTTGCAGTTATATGGACTTACACACATACACACACACACACACACACACACACACACACTCATTGTACTACTCACTGAGCCTCTGCCAGCGCGCTCTGCACCCTGCCATCCACCTTTTTGTGATGCATTATTATGTTAGTCATACAGCGATGGGATTGTGGTGTAAAGTGTAGCCCTGCTTTTCATCACTTTGAGTGAGCAGAAAGCATTTTTTACTTTGAAAAATCTGGTGGAGCCTGTGTGTGTGTGTGTGTGTGTGTGTGTTTGATCTTTTGCCTCGTTCAGGTGCGGGGTGTGTCGGCTCGGTGCTTGCGGGGCGAGCGTTCTCTTCTTAACTGGAGAGAAATCCCGTTTGCTGGTTCCGCACACTCACATGCATGTGCACACAAATGACCTCTCACACACACACAAACACACACACACACACACACAAACAAACACACACACACACACACACACACACACACACACACACACACACACACACACACACACACACACACACACACACACACACACACACTGGTACATTCTTCATTATCATTCCAGAGCTGATAGGCTCTAATTATCTGCCTTGCCTCTGATTAGTCTCTCAGTAACAAGCTAATTAGATGGAGCCTTGTAAAATCATCACCAGCATTACCACAGAGACACGGTTGGGAAAGACACCAACAAGCAGAAGGCAGGAATGTGTCTTGCTCTGCTCCCTGCCAACATTTGATAGTCAACTAAATGTTAAGTGCTGGAGCTCTGATTTCTTTTTGATTAAGTGCCTTTTAAGCCTCTTCTACTTTGCAGAAGAATCTTTATCCCCTCATATTATTCATCACGCTGGGATTGTTCCGTCTTACAGGGCAGGATGATCTGGCTTAAAATGCATAAACTGCTGCTGTCGACATTTTAGCAGATAGCATCTGAACATTGATTAGTTTCTCTGCCCCCACGATACAGTGGCTATTTATCCAAAACGATCTATCGTCAGATCCGAGTCAGAACTTTTCTCTCCGCAGAGCAACTTTAAAGCCTGAGCAGAAAGCGAGATTAATTCTCTCCTCTAGCTTCTTCCGTCCTCTGTTATTATCCCTCCAACAATCCTTTTAGGAGCTGTCACACACTTTATAGCTATTGTGTTACAGTTGTGAACACTCCACAGCTAGTCTGGAGCGCAGCACGTTGTATTTCCCATCAAAATGCATCTTAACTGTAAGCCAGTTAAAAAAGAAATAGGAGTTTGTGATCTCAGCTTCTGCTCTCAGACTCATTTGAGCGAACACAAGGTGCTGTAAAAGATTTATTAGGCCGATTCATACAGTTTGAATGCTTAATATCGTTTGCTGTGTGCATGTACTTCTCATCGCCAGCGTATATAGTTTTCTATAATAGCCTATAATCATCTTTTTAGAGACAATATGTCACAGAAAATTAAGAAAATCAGCAAATTAGAACGTTTTCTAGCAGCGCCGGCACATCTGTTGAGTCAGCCCTCAGCCAGTGAAAGGATGCAATGCTAACTCCCGCTGCTTTTGTCTGGGATTAAAGGAAACACATATAGCCTGTGGTTACACACAGGGGAGCTCTTACATAATGGGATTTGAAATCCATAGTTACTTTTAGCCCTCAGGTTACTAAGGTGCCGTGTGTTTGTGTGTTTGTGTGTGTGATAAGAAGGCTGAGGTCGACAGAGACACGCTAATGACAGCTTTACGTCAACATGTGCATCCATGTGACTGGCTGTGATGGGATGATTGGCTTGTTTGTCAGATCTGGTGATCATAACTGTGTGTGTGTGTGTGTGTGTGTGTGTGTGTGTGTGTGTGTGTCCTGGACGGGGTTCTTCTGCTCCGGGGGTGAGGCAGATGGCCTCTGTGGATCGCAGCCTACTGAGCTGGTTGGCAGCTCTTCTGACATTCCTTCATGCCACATTGACACAAGATCACAGCCAATATTTGCTGAAATAGTGTCTTAGCTCACAATGGGGTGACTTGCTCCACTTTGCAGGAATAGACTGTACACACAAAGTGCCCTAGATCTGGCCTGTGGCAGTGTCAGGAGTTTTTTGTGCACATTGTTTCCAGATTTTGTCATTGGGTTTAATGTGGATAACGAACCCCTGCCATCAGTTCCAGCTAAAGGCACAGTCAGCTCCTGTCATAGAGACTGCAACGCAGTTGTACACCGCTTCTCTTTGGGCGCTGCTGTGCACTCTAGCTGTCTGGCCCGGCTCAGGGTGAGTGAGTTGGTAATTGGATTTCTGGAATCTTCTTATTCACTCCAGTGATGCAGTGTGCAGGCGACAAAATGCCTGCAGCCATGAGGCTTCATCCCGAGGCCCCTGAGGTGAGATGAAGGTAGCCTTACACAGACGTGCTCAATGAGACTGTGGCTGAGGCGGTCTCCCATGGGAGCTGGATGTCTGGAAGCCTGGTTGGAGCCCTGATGGAAAAGGTTTGATGACATCACAACCAGCAACCTCCACCTTAGGCCCAAACAGCCCTCCTGACATCCACTTAAACCAATCTCCCAAACCTGACAGCTATGTGGAAGCAAAAGGGAAGATAGTGAGCAAAGTGCTGTGTTCAGATAGGGCAGTAATTTACTTTGACCAAAACTCTGAGCTGAATCCAGATTGCATTGGTTTCAGGTTCATGTTCCTGATAGAAGAAGCTCTGAGATTTATTCTAATATTGCATGTATATCTTACATACCTTCACCATCAGTGACTCGCTGCCTGTCACAGCGCTGGGTTCCCCTGGCTGCTTGTCTCCCTTCTACACACACAGTTACACGACAGCTGTCACTTCCAGTAACCACAGCTTCTCCACTATCTCTGCACTCCCCCCCCAGGCCCAGACTGGTACCTGAACAAGGTGAGGCTGAAGATCACTGATGTCAACGACAACATCCCTGAGTGGAATATGAAGCCGTACCCGTACCTGGCTGTGGTGTCCCCTGAGGCTCCCGCGGGGACGTTTGTCTATCACCTCCAGGCCCAGGATGGAGACGAGGGCAAGAGCGGAGAGGTGGAGTACTTTTTGTCAGATGGTAAGCTTCCTGCTCTTTGTACACACACTCACTCACATGAGATGTATAGGAAGGAAGTGGTATTAAAATCCTGCTAGGCTGTGTTGTTGTTGAAATAGGTTGACAGGCTATAGCGCCTCGGAAATAAACACAACTAGTCAGACACCAGCACAGCCGCTCACACAGACAGCCACAGGCGCTCACACATTCATTCATGCATTCATACACTCTAGGTGTCCATTAGTTTCCGTCTCTCTGTCACCCCGTCTCTCTCTGTCTCTGTATCAACGCCACTCTCTCTCTCTCTCTCCACAACACTCACACACTCACACACACACACACACACACACACACACACACACACACACACACACACACACACACACACACACACATTGTACACAGCCAGAGGCCTTCACACATTTGTTTACGCACTTATCATGCACTCATGTCTATCTGTCTGCTTCCCTCTGTTTCATGCACACAAAATCATGCACACACACACACACACACACACACACACACACACACACACACACACACACACACAGTGGGCTGCTGGAAATCTGCCAGCGTTGTAGACCCCCTGGTGCTTGTGGGGATAGAGGTTTGCTGGCATGTCAAAGATGGGGGGATGTGCTAATCTTGCTAAAGGGGCTTTACAAAACACTACAGACTTTGCTTTGACTCACATTAGTGTGTTGCACAGCTGCCTGATGTGAGGTAAACCACATTTACCACAATGCACCCTGCATGGTCTGTATGAACACGATAAGAAGTCGTGTAAGCACCGAGGTTTACCTCTGAAAGCTCAAATTAAATACCGAATAGTTTCCCCTCAAAGTAATCTAGACCCAATTTGAAGATTTCACATGTATTTATTTAACCCTCTTATCTTGTCTTTAAGTCTTAAGTCCTCAGAGGATGATTGTAGGCGGCCTTTTGATGTGCCAGGTCAGTCTGTCTGACCTCATTTTTCAGTGTTTAACTGCAGTGAAAAAAGTTGATCTTTTATTTAAGCGCTGCCCAGAGGAGTTTACACACGCCATGTCTTTCTTTGAGGCCTAAGACGTGTTGAATGCATTTCCTTCCTCATAAAACATTTGTAAAGCCCATTTTGAAATATAAAAAAAAAGGAGTCTTGTTTACACACTTTGAAGTCTTTTTCGCTTCCTCTCACACCTTCGTAAATTTACTGGAGAGTTTTCGCCTCAAAATGTCAACCCATGGAAAAGTGTTAAGAAAAACAGGAAGTAGTATGTGAACTGTGTACGTGACACAAACAACAAACATGATAAAGAAAATGCTCCACCCTGTCACTCATGAATAGTGTAAATGTTACAGTTACCTGATGCAGCAGCTCTCCAAGTCATCATGTAACCCTCATGTAACCGCCCCTAAAAGCTATTTAGGGGCGCTGGTGGTTAGTGCGCGCGCCCCAAGTATGGAGGCTATGACCTGTGGCTCCTTTCCCGCATGTCATTCCCTACCACTGTCCACTGTCATGTCTCTCCATTAAAGGCACAAAAAGCCCAAAAATAAATATATATATATATATATATAAAGCTATTTAAAGGCTTTATATGCAATTTTTCACACTTAAATATAATATAAATCAAGTATATCCTCTGAAAATAACTTTGTGAGTCATGACTGTCTACAATGGGTGTAACACCCGAGTCCCACTGTCTGTGATGTTTTCAGAGTTTTCAGAGTCCTATCTTCAGTTTGTTTACATCGCCCGGACTGCGGCTGACTCCTCCCTTCATGTATAAAAGTTGTTTAATTGAGGGACTAGAGAAAAGAAGAATAACATACTGTACTCACTGCTTAACTGTGTTTCTAGATCACGCTTATTTCAGGTAAATTTACATGCAGTGTGAAGATACGAGCATAATAAAGATCACTAGCATTAGCATGCTAACCCACAATCCACCGCGAGTTGTTTTGGTTTCATGATGGATCAAAAAATCGCATATAAAGCCTTTAAAGCAACATCGATATTTAAGAAAGAATGCATGATTTTGTAGTCCAGTAGATGTCGCCCTTGAGCACCAGCATGAAACCAAAACAAACGTTTGGCCACACCTCCTCCACCGCCTCCGCTCTCCCCCCCCCTCGGCTTGAGATGAGCTACAATCACCTGTGTCCTGCATTGTTGTGTTAGCATGCTAATGTTAGCGCTCTTTAGTTAGCTCGTAGCTTCACATTGCATGTTAATAGACAGAATGAGCGTGATCTAAAAACTCTTACTAACATCCAAATAATCAGTGAGTATGTTCTTCTTCTTCTCTCTAGTTCTTGACTAAAACATCTTTTATACACAAGGGGAGGAGCTGACCGTCCCGTCCATGTAAACACAGCTCTAACAACAACACAGCCAGCGGGACTCGAGCTTCTCACTCATTGTAGACGGTCATGACTCAGAGACACATTTACAGAAGATAAACATGATTTCTGATATATTTACGTGTAAATTGTTGCACATTCTTCCTTTAAATGATTGCGATGGCTTCCATGGTTGCATTACTGCCGATTGGTTTGTTCTCTTTTGCTCCCTACATGGAGCGTTTTCCTGAGTTCCTCAAACGCCGGGGAAAATGTTAGTGGACAATAATGCTCTCTAAAACAAATATCAAAACGCTTCCATGGGGGTCAAGAATTCTGACACTTACCTGTAGATTTTGCATTCTTATTCAGTCTATAAATAGAGATTATTATTATTTCTTTGTCCTGCACAGAATTCATATAAGTGATATAGAGCGCATAGCTGAGCTACACTTGCAGCTGAAAATAGTTCCCATATTGCACTTTTCTTAAAGCAAAGAACTGGTACAAACAGATGATTGTAGCACAGCAGTTTACTTCCTGTCAGTACAAGTCTAGTTTGTCAAAATGTGCGAGCACCCCTTCAGCAAACAGCAGTTTCCAGAGCTGCAGAGTGAAGCTGATACGTCAAACTGTCACAAACATTTTTTTGTGTTCATAGAGTCAGAGGTTTGAAAAGGTGCCATGTGCCAGCAGACTGCAGGCGTACAGGTCCCATAATAGTTTCCTTAAGGTGGACCACGATAACAGACTCAAGGCAAACATTAAGCGAGCGCTGAGGTCTGTTTTGGCCCGAGTCCCAAAGAGGTGAGGGTGGTAATAAAACAACGAGAAGCCCTAAAGGCTAGACTACACCACCACAAGACTGCACTTCATACATTCATAAGTACATACACGTTCAAAAGCACTTAAATAGATCAAGAACTGAATGATAAGAAAAGGCCAGAGGGTTACAGACAGGGTCTGATAATATGGAAAGAAATTATTTTAAAGCAGTAGATCTCAGCTGGTCTGGCTTCAAGGCCCACCAGCAAATCACAACAACATTTTTTTTGTTAAACCAATGAGATTTCTTTCAAGAAAAACATGTAACAGAAGAACAAAAATATTGAACACGTTTGAGACAATTACTTTTTTCCAGGCACACATTCACGACCCACTGAAAACAGCTCCGAGACCCACTTTGGGTTCCTGACCTCCTGTTGAGAACCACTCCTTCAAAGGTGCCATGTTGATTTGAACCACTTGTAGGGCTAAATGTAATAATTTAACAGGCTACCCCCATTTGGTTTAAATCACATGCACGTGCAGCATGTGCATCCTCATGCAGGTGCAGAATGTGCGAACTCATGCAGGTGCAGCATGTGTGACCTCATGCATGTGCAGTGACCTCATGCACGTGCAGTGTGTGACCTCATGCAGGTGCAGAATGTGTGACCTCATGCATGTGCGGCGTGTGTGACCTCATGCAGGCGCAGAATGTGTGACCTCATGCATGTGCAGTGTGTGACCTCATGCATGTGCAGCCTGTGTGACCTCATGCAGGTGTAGAATGTGCAACCTCATGCAGGTGCAGCATGTGTGACCTCATGCAGGTGCAGCGTATGTGACCTCATGTCCGTGCACAAGCATGCAAAGGATGCAACACACACCTGATGATAAATCCCTACAGTTTTCCAGCGACAATGATGGTGCAAATGAAATTTAAAAAAAAAGCATAGATACATTAACAGGGAGCATGAAAATCAGGCTGCAGCTTCTAAACATAGACATAAACAACGTGTGCTCCAAAACATTTCTGTGTTTCTCTTTCTTGAACTGTGCTTTTTCGTTGAGATCAGGATCTTGTCTGCGAGAGAGACCGGAGACAAACAGCTGAACAAAAATAGATGTTTGCAAAACTGACTATTTTCTTATTTTTATCCTCTCTTACACTCATTTGTCTTGCACAGTTAAAGCAGCCTGCTGACATGCATTTCACTAATTTATAGAACTTTACAAACAGTCTCAGTCTCAAGATACAATCCTGCAGTGAGACTGTTGACCCGGTATGCTTTTAAGTTCATGCCAGTTCAGTACTGGAGGACTCTTCAGCGTGCACACTCAGGATTTAAAGAGTTCTTCTGTCCTCTTTTCCAGCACTGTGAACTGAAGTTTTAAATTAGTGAGGAGATGTGATGTTCTGAGGCAGCTTCAGCAGGAGGCGTTCATTAAAAAGATAATAGCTCGTACTTCCTGTCTTGTTTCTGGTGATGACCAACACGACACGTTTTCACATTGTGCAGATGTGCAGAGAGATGAATACAATATTTATGTCCTGAAATGAAAGCAAGCCGGAGATTAAACTGCATCTGTTTTTTTTAAGGTGAAATAAGCAGCATGTTAGTGAAATATATCTGCCTGCTGGTTCCATTGCACACTGATTTTCTTCTTCTACTCGAGAGAAAAATAAGCTTGTCTCTGTTATTAAAACCATTTTAATTATGAGATTTTGTGCACGTCGTTCCACACAAGGATTAAAAGTGAGGCTCTTGTCTTCAACAGATCTACTTATAAGAAAAAAAACTTTCATTTACTTCTACTTTAGCACCGTTGTGTGTTTGGCTTGCAGGGAGATGTGGGCAGAGTTAAACATTCCTGACAATAAAACACTGATTGATTTATCAGTTCAAGTCTGAGGTCACGCATTCTTCAGTTTTTTCAAAGCTATATTTCATTAACATTATATCAAAAGACTTTTAAAATTGGCGAAGTCCTTCATTGAAAAGGGAGTCTATTTCAGAGTTCTGTGAGGGCCAAGGATACGAACAATACAGTGTGGTGATAAAAGAAAACTCCACAGGGCATATTTAAATGTAGCCATCAAGTAACTGTACAAGTTTGATTTATCCCCGTGGTATTTACTGCACAGACGGGGGTTCCCTCAATCCAGAGCATACTTTTTTATTATTTACCGAGACCCAACATGAATCCACCACGAGCAAGAACACTTAAAGGCAGGGTTGGTAATGTTCAGAAACTAGCATGACATGTGAAAGTAGCATTCCCTCAGTGCTACGTCTGTACCCCCTCCCCTCTGTGCTCTCTCTAAAACCATGCCCCCTCACTTAAATGCACAAGCGCCATTACTGCAGAAGCGGACCTCAGCTCATGCTTTGAGTGTGGGCTAGATCACGCAAGGGGTAGAGAACAAGCAGGGAGACAGGGAGGCGTGTGATTGGTTCATCAGATTGTTACCTCGTGGCAGACATTGGTTGAAGTTTTTACAGACTTACAAACTGATACAGATGACAGATTTTCATTGTTCCTTTTTCAGAGAACATGAGTTATTAATTTCTGTCAGGACCTAAAAACAATTTCAACCCAAATGTCAAAAAATGGAGCTGGAAAAGGTTACCAACCCTGCCTTTTACTGTCAGAAACCATGAACAGAACCAGACTAATTGGTGGACAGATATCAGCTGTGAGTGTCATGGTGGAAAAAGTGAGAAAAACAGGCAAAAAGAAAGTGAGAGAGAGACAAGCCCAGTTCAGATTGATGTTTTTAAGCCGTGATATTTACGCCCCTGTGATGTGACCCCGTTTCACCATCAATCTGAACATAGTGGAGGCGTAATGCAGGGACGAAGTGATCCCATCTCTTCAGAGGTAGTTACAGAGGAGAGATGGTTTTCATGACATCCAGTCAGACGACAGACACAGTCATCACCACACATGTAAACAGGCTCACATTTGGTTAGAACTTTTCTGAGCCTGGACTGCAAAAGGTTTACAACAGGAATCATCTCACCGCACTGCTGAAGCTTTTATCAGTCTCTTTTTTTAGACGAGTATCTGGACTTGTACTTGAGAGAATGAGCGTTCTTTTCCACCGCTGGCTGTTGTCTAGTTACAAAGTAAAGCCGATATTGACTTCACCATATCTCCGTTCTGTAAGCTTTACTGATGTGTATCATTGTGATAAAGATATGATGTGAAAACTTTGACAAAGAGGACTGTGTCGAGCTCACAGCCGCGTTCACAAACAACACAATCCTTCCTCTCCTTCCAGGCACCTGATAGTGGAAATGTTTCTTCAAGGATTTTCATTGTTTGACTTCCAACAGGTGGAAAGGTTTTCAAAGTTGAACTTGTTGGCTTCTGTATGTCGCTGAAACAAAGTGAGCTACCGTGGGCTAAGGCTAACGAATCCATTCAAACTGCTCTGTGGTCAGTGATAAGAACAGCCAGCAGATCTGCAGGAACACGGGGCCGAGCGTTGAGACATTTATTCTCCACGGCTTCTCCTATTGTGGCCCGGATCAGACCTAATTTGTACATCGCTGTGGACAAAAGCGTCTGCCAAATGGAGTCATGGAAATGCAAATTCAGCTTAAAGTCACTGTTGAATGTGTGCCATACCGCCTGAATACAGAAACAGCCATTAAGGAGTCATTTTAATAAAGATGTTTTATATCTCTTAATCCTCATGTCATGAACAGACTATGAGGAACACAGATTGCTCTTATAAAGGTAACAAATGTTAACAACATTTAGTTTAAATCATTTTTAATCCTACACTGATTCAATGTTTTGATAAATAAATGAGCTGCACAGAAAGATTGTGTTTTAATCTTTTGGACATGAATCAAACCATACATACAAAAGATGTAGCGCTGCACTAATCAAACCCAGCAAGACAGACTCACCTATTTCACAATGTGATTTGGCTGGCATTAGTATTCCGGCAGGCAGATCTTGGCTTGGATTGGTTTGGATCTGCTTCTGTAAAAATATTGTAATTGTATTTCCCTGCAGGCGGTGACGGCTGTTTTGCAGTGGACAAGAAGACGGGCCAGGTGGTGACCACAGGCCTGCTGCTGCAGAGGGACAGGGAGTACTTGTTAAGCGTGGTGGCTCTGGACGGCCCGGGCAGCCGCAGCGCCCCCGCCATGCTCTCTGTGGTCGCAGGAGCCAGAGCACCGCAGTTCACCAACAGCAGCTACGCCATCTCCATCCCAGAGAACACGCCGGAAGGACAGCCGTGAGTGCCACACATGTACACATACACAAATAAGCAGGGAGAAAAAGAAAAATTGGGGGAAGACAGGACAGCTGAAGAGATAGAGGAAATGTTGGAAGGAGAAAGAGGGGGATGACATGCAAAGGGCCGAGGCGCTCAGGCTAACAAACGCAAACCAAAGCAGTGGCCTAAATTGTGGAAATTTTGCAACAACAGCAGGAAACCTCCCTCATGGGGGCCCATTTGACAGCACTCATTCTTGTTGCCATGCAGAGCGTTGCATGCATTTTTGCTGTGAAAACCAAAGTTTGGCAATTCTGGTTGGTGGGGGGGGGGAGCTGAGCAGTGATTTGTAAGTGAGGAGGAGGATGAAGGTAATCCCCCCCCCTCCCTGGTGAATATTTCCTGAATATTTCCAGCTGTGTTCTCACATCCACTCACCCGGACTTCAGGCAGAAAATGTACTAGCGGGCCGGCAGGAAGAATCCCGCGTAGAGTCACAGTGAAAAATGACGCTTTTTGCGTTCACATTTGCAGCTCACTCCGGCATCATGCGACAATATTTATCCTTTTCAGCTGAAATGAAACTCATGTGTTGTCTTACTGATGTCTTGTTCTTTTCGCAGTGAGACAGTTTCTTTGGGACATTTTATTCAAATGTGATTTATTCCCATGTGGCTATCACCAAACACTCTGTCAGATTCTTTATTGTTGCTGCGGTATCTCGAAGAGATCGTCTGATTCTGAAGAAAACAATAAAAGGAAGAAGGAAATATAAATAATACTGTCAGTGTGCCTCGTATTTGTAAACACTGGGATCATAATCATTCAGTGACAGGAGATTTAGTATCCCGCTTTGTAACAATTAAACCAACTGAAATATTTAATCCTCGGCACAAGCAGCTCCTAAAATAACTGCAGCATGCATGCAGACACACTCCTGTCTGAGGTGTCAATTTCAGAACGCTGTACCTGTGATGATTCATGTCGATGAATATTCATGTGGTCACACCGATGCACTGGAGCATGAATTGAGATATTATCACACGTCATTAGAGGAAGACAAACTCCCTTAACCACAAAAACAAACACTGATATCTGCATAATAGTGTGATATTATTACACAGCACTGACAAGCACTGATTGACGGCGCACAGTCAATGAGCCGTACAGGCATTGATTCCATTACTGCGCACTGCTGCTGCAGGAGGAGAGGATTCGATTTTAATCCAACATGTGTGCATCTAAAATCAAACAGTAAAGACTTTTCTTTCATTTATGTCCTTTTTGTCCTGCAGCTTCCTGGTGGTGTTTGCCATTTCCTTCCAAAAGCAGCCAATCAGCTACAGCCTGCTGATCAATCCCAGCAGCCTGTTCAGTATCCGGCAGGAGACGGGAGAGATCAGCCTGACCAGGACGTTGGATTACGAGAGCGACCAGCGGCGGTACCTGCTGATGGTGCGAGCCAGCGAGGAGGCCGGCAGCCTGAGCACGGCCACAGAGGTGAGAGAGAGAGAGAGAGAGAGAGAGAGAGAGAGAGAGAGAGAGAGAGAGAGAGAGAGAGAGAGAGAGAGAGAGAGAAGCTGAAACATGAGTCAGAGAAAAGACAGGGTCAACTGAGCCCAAAGCTGCGGTCCACAGTGATGTTTTATTATTGCAGCTGTCACACAAACCTTTACTCTTGCTGCTGAGTGGAAGCTTGATAAATAAATCTGCTTTGCTGCTCAGAATCGCACCACTTTTCTCTCTCCCACTGGACTCTCTAGGAGCGAGCAGACAGACCTGTTTTCACCTTTATGTTGTGGCTCATTTTCGAGTGACAAGGCTGCGTTTACCTGCAATGATCTGATCTCAGAGCTGACCTGTTGACCCCACACTACTCGGCCGTGACCACGCAGAAGAAGCAGCAGTCTCGGGTGCTGTCTACATGGCTGAATGCTTTTGAGATGTTAACAAGTGGACCTGAGGACAAAGGGATTTTTATTTTTCTCCTGCTCGTCCCGTGTTTCTGTATTTCGTCTTAGGAAGAGCTTCTTTCGCTGAGAGTGTGATGAACAAACACTTTGAGGCTGTGAGAACTCTCAATCCGAAAAAAGTGAATTCACAAACGAATATGTCTCGATCAACTATGCATGAATTCAGTGTTCTTAAATTATTAATTCAAAGATTTTGTTACCCAATTATCATGTCAGGCGCTCACTCCGCACCACAGATTTAGCTGGAGAGAAATCTCCCTCTGCTCAGTCGACGTTGTGGGGTTGGAGATGAAGCCTGGGAAAACCTATCCCAGCTATTTCAGGACTATTACTCAGCTGTCACTTCACACTTTACACACAGTGGTGACAGGGAGCTCGTAGGGCGCAGGGCAGCTAAGGGCCTTTGTCGAAAACACACACATGCTCGGAACATTTCTATTTTTGACTCGGGAAGTCATGAAGTGGAAGATAAAGAATGTGGGGAACTGGCAACCCGAGAAACTATAAAATGCAATTTAGATTCAATTTTTTTGGTCAGCTTCCTGTGCAGAAAATGTGCTATGGTTGTCTCCTGGTTTTGAGGGTTATTATAGAGAAGCTAATTTAGCATCTTCTCTGATTTCTTCTGTTTTTTCTCCTCCTCTCCTCTCCTCTCCTCTCCTCTCCTCTCCTCTCCTCTCCTCCTCTCACTTTGACCCTAATCAGGTTCAGGTGTTGATAACGGATGAGAATGATTGTGTCCCAGAGTTCCTCCAATCCATCTACAGTGTGGATGGTGTCCCCGAGACTGTAACCACGGCAACGTCTCTGCTGCAGGGTGAGACTCCGCTGACCCCATATTTCACATCCATCTGTTTCTTTTTGCATTGTGGAGAGAAACTATTTAAAAAGTCACTTTTTGCACAGAAAACAGCAGATGTACTTCACGCAGGTGCTGCTCAGACCTCGAGTCGTTGCATTGACACGTAAAGTTTTACATTTTTTCCAACTGAAATAAACTAATAGATGCTTTAGAGCTGAGATCATGCTCCAATTACCTCAATCTAAACGCATGCTGTGTTTGCAGCATGTATTTGTTTTGATGTTTTATTTACTATACTAGTGCATTGCCCATTCAGAATGTTTGTTTATGATGTGTTGAACGTGGCTGATCAGGATTGGCTAGGGGCAACGTGAAGTTCTGTGGTCAGCCAAGGAGCCAAAATGATCTTTGAATCAAGGGAATAGCTAATGTGTACCTATACTGTACATAATATTGCCTTAGGCCAGTCTCCTGCGCATGTGCTGTGTGTGTTGTTTCCGCAAAATCACACAAAATGACATGACATGCCTAGTGCAGAGTAACGTTACCTAGGTAACTAAGTTGCACAGCAGTGGCTGAGTGATTTTTGTTAACAACGGTTAACTAACGTGTAATAGTCAAACAGAAAGGGGGACCGTAAAGATAGCCTCTATTTAGCAAGTCGAAACGGTAAACTTTGCAATGTACAGTGTGTTCCGTCCCGTCCACTCAGCGACCTAAATAAACTTTTCCTTGGGCGAGTCTCCTTCTGTGCATGGGTTTTAGCAACAATATGAGCTTGTGTAAACTTCACAATCAGCGCTGCACTTCTTTGGGTCCACAGTAACACACCTGCCAAGTCTGATGTTAATCGGACGAATGGCTGTGTAGAAAATCGACTAACGAACACACACACACACACACACACACACACACACACACACACACACACACACACACACACACACACACACACACACACACACACACACACACACACAGATTCCTGGATTTATATATGTATCCGTGTCTGTAACTGCATGAAGCTTCCTTATGGATATCACATTTAGTGCTGGAGGCAAAACATGTACAGTAACATATTGTGCATACAGAGGATTGTATTCAAAGGTTTTTATTTCTGCCTCCTTCGCTGACATCTTTTCATGTTTGCTGCATAAAAAAATGTGTTTGCAATCTTGGAAATCAGGTTTATTTTCGGATTCTGTAACTTGAATATCCTGTGTGATATTTAGCTCCAGCCAAAGACAGAAAAGTACCTCAACAGGATTTTAGATGTCCCACAGTTTTTTCTATTTTACTCACAATTTAACGGGCTCTCTTGGCCAACACCACAGATCCATAAACACAAAAGTATCTCCTCGTTCTCACCTTTCCACCCTGTGTTGGTTAGTTCTTGTCAAATGCTTCCTCTTTGTGGGGCGTCCCTCCCCAATGGTAGGCGGCAGATGATTCGTGGGAATCTCAAACTAGGGGATAGTTCCCAGTGGATTCTGGGTGAGAAAAATGGAACAAATTTAATCTGAAAACATTCAAACACACAGCCTGGAGCGGTTGAAATTGTTGGCACAGCAGAACCGGCAGTCAGAGAAAACAGCACCCGATATAAACCAGAGCAACACGAAGAGAGACTCAAACGAGCGGTACGGAAGAAAGAGCCCAGCGGTGGAGAGATCCAAGGTAGAGAAAGCAGAGATGGGAAGTGTTCTGAAAGAGCCAGCAAAGGGAAAGTTAGATCTTTTTGCTATGAATAGACTCTAGCTCACATTAGAAGCCCAGAATGCTCCAACAATTCAGATCAAAGGGTGAAAATCTGCAAATAGAGAGAAAAATGTGTTAATTTCTTCATGTGTGGGGCTGCATGGATAACCAATGAATTGATGAAAAGAGTGAAATTACCTTAAAAATGCCATCTGACATTAATCTGTGAAAAGGCACAATCAAACATTTTACAAAAGAATAACTTACAAAAGAATAACAAAAGCTACCAACTTTGGTTATTTGTAAAGAACATTGACTGTATATAAAGATGGACAACACGTTCTCTTCTCCTGCCATTGTACAAAAGTGAAGCCATAATACCACCTCAACCTGACACTTGGAGTCAGAGTCTGTGCAGTAGAGATCGGCCCATGGAGTCCCGCCCCTTCCTTAACATACAACACTCATTCAACTTCCTGATCAAAGGTCAAAGGTCCCTCAACTGATTCTTGTCAGTTTGAAGGCGACGATCAATGTTATTATTTTTGGCCTTTTACGCCTTTATTTAGAGACAGGACAGTGGATAGAGTCTGAAACCTGGAGAGGGGGAGAGAGAGGGTTGAGATACGGGAAAAGAAGCCACAGGCCAAATTCTAACCGGGGCCGCTCGCTTGGAGGATTACAGAACTCTACATTGTGCGCGAACAAACCGCTAGACTACTGATGCCCCCTTCTGACCTGACCCTTCTGAGCTGCAAGACTGATTTAGGTTTTTGGCTAGATTTCAGTCGGATCACGTGTCATTTGCTGTTCAGTATACAGGGATCACGAAGGCCAATCACAGCCCGTTCTGCTGCTCCCGACCAGAGTCGTACGACTGCACACACTTACACACACTTGCACTGTGAAATCACAGCCGCAGGCCGATTACAACAATTTTCTTAAAGGGCAGTTACCACAACATTTTAAAAGGGACAGTAACCCTCAACAGAAAAGACCTCCAGCTGACAGGGAATATTTATTATGAGTGAGCCGAGCTTGTGACCTATACTGCAGCCAGTCAGCAGGGGGAGCTCCAAACGTTTTGGCTTCACTTACAGGGAGCTGTGTTGTTGTCCATTTTTTTTATACAGAAAAGAAGACATAACAGATAAGCCACTTGAGAGATTGAGGGAATATTTTTCTATTATATTTTATTTGACCTGCAACGAACCGATCACACTAAACCATCTATACAAATATTATACTGTAAATGAACAGTCATCATCTTTAATATGAGACATTTAGATGGAGGGAGATTGAAGCCTTGAGATGCACTGGAGCGTCTGTGCTAATGTTTGACTCAGAGGAAATAAACACATCAAAAGAATATGCATCATAAAAAGAGTTGTGAGCTTCGGGGGCTGTTTGAGGAAAAATGAGCTAAAGTGAAATCCAACAAACTTACACTTAAATTAGCTGAGCAGCCGAGGGTGTCGATATTTGTGGCTGCAGTCTGGGAAAGAAATCTCATCACACATTATAAATAAATCCATAGTCTGTTTTTCTGTGTAATTACTTCAAAATAAAAAAATGATTTCCAAACACCGCATGCAGAAAACACTGGCGTGTGTTTGTTGCATTTGTTAGTTTTTTTCAGTCTTTAAGCTCATTTCTGCAGAGATTATTCCAGAGGGACACTGCACAGTGTGTGTGCTGGTAATTGTATCTGTCACAGCTTATGATCTATTACATGTTTAGCAAGGCCATAAAAAGATAATGATGTACACAGTTGTCAACATATTCATCAGCTGATGCGTCTCATCCGCTCATTAAACTGTAAATTGATGGTCTTGCTGTGATGTCTTCCCTCCTGCAGTTTTGGCCACAGACTGTGACTCGGGGTTAAACGCCGAGCTCACCTATTACACCCTCAGCCCCGACTTCAGCATTTCACCCCATGGGACCGTTTTCCCCGCGGGGCGGCTGGACTACGAGAGGCGTAACCATCTGTATGAGTTTGTGGTGATGGCGACAGACAGCGGCGATGAGCCTCACTCCGGCACAGCCACGGTCCGTGTGAGGATGGCGAACATCAACGATGAGGCCCCGGAGTTCTCCCAGCCTGTGTGAGTACATTTATACAGTCAGGTCTTTCTTTTACATCCCAATCATCCCTCCCTCTGTCTTACTTAGCGGTCACCTGACTTTGCTTTCTGGTCAGCATTGCTGTGTATCTGCAGCAGGTGGGCGGGCTGTGGTGTCTGCAGTTTGTCAATAGTTACGGGCGGCAACTGCTTGGGGCCCCAGGCCAGTAGGGCGGGGGGGGGGGGGGCCCCAAGGGCTGACAAACTTTAAACCACAGCAGAGGCTCAAAATAAGCAACTTTTCCAACGACAGCCGATCAAGGGGCGGCTGTGGCTCAGTTGGTAGAGTTGTCGTCTCTCCGGATGGTCGAGGGTTCGATCCCCAGCTGGGCAACATGTCCGATGTGTTCTTGGGCAAGACACTTAACCCTGCATTGCTCCCGCTGCTTGGCGGTGTATGAATGGGATTAGTTACTTCTGATGGATGATACTACACAGTGACCTCTACCATCAGTGTGTGAATGTGTTGGTGTGACATGAAGTGTAAAAGCGCTTTGAGAAGTCAGAAGACTAGAAAAGCGCTTTATAAGCTCAAGTCCATTTACCATTTACCATTTACCTCCCTAAGGGGGGCCCATCTGACAGCACTTCTCCTCCTTTGAAAACCAAAACTTGTCAATGAAAGTCACAGAAGGAAAATGAAGAGGAATTATCCGTCTGGGAGTGAAATAAAGAAAGAGAGAAAGGTGGAAGCGGAGTAGGCGTGGGGACATTGAAAGACATAATGGTGATGAATGCTTGTTGGAGGGGCCCCTGATGAATTTTTGCCAAGGGCCCCAACAGACTCTAGAAACGCCACTGTCTGCGGCTCCCTTGTTGTTTGAACTGAGGAGTCTTTTGAATAAAAGAAGCACCACACAGAGGTTCATTACCTACATTAAACAGCCTAAATCATGCTCTCTGAACCAAGCTGTCAGTGGCCTCAACCCATTGATTGAAGGAATCACTCTTTTTGCAAAACTCTGAAACAGTTTCATACACTTTGCGACTCTCATTCAATCTTTATTTTCAACACATTCTCCCTCACTAAAAAACGTTTTGCACTGTGATGCACTTGTGGTGAATAACGGTAACCACAGGTGGCAGAAGTCAAACACGATCACAGCACAGGTGTCACAGTTTACACACAATGACTCACGCCTGAAAACACTTACCCGGTACTAATAGTGTGATTAAACCAAAATTAACTGGTGCAGAGGGAAGGAGCGAGATGGAGGTTGATCTCAAAGACAGACGGAGACAATCTGAGAGTCAGAGGAGGAACAGGGAACACTGCATGTGGTGTGGATGAAGTCCTCGAATCTGATCAAGCAGGAAGGCACGATGCTGAGGCGGAAAGATAAAATCACACTCATTCGATAAACTGGGAATGAGTCATGAATAAAGAAAAAACTAGAAAAACAAAAAGATTCCTGCATGTTGTTGTCTGCACCTGCACTCCAAGATTTACTGCTTCAAAACATTTGGGCTCTCGGCTCTTCTTCCTCAGGTTGATTCTGATGATGAATCAACCCGATGAAGGTCGGCGTCCTGCGACGTTGGGAAGCAATACAGTCAATTCTGGAACTGAAAGAGCAGACGACAGTGTGCAGGAGTCTTCTCTCTCATGCATCTGTCCAGGTGTGCAAACGTTTTGTTCCTTGAATATTTATTTTGGAAAATGAAACTGCATTTTCAGTAATTTTTAAGCACTTTACTCACACACTTACGCACTCACTCAGTGTCTTTTTTCTGTGGCGACCCCTGACCTCTGTGTTCTCTGTTTGTTGATGTGTGTAACGCCTGCACAGTGGGGTTTTCATTCTGACTGCTGTGTGTCTGATGTGAAAACACTGTTTGATTCCAAGCTCAGTGAAACTGTTTTGATTTGATTTTTTATTTTACTAGAAGAATCAGAGGTATTGTGTTTGTGGAATTAGAAATCTGGGTTTTGTGTTTACAGTTCACAGGAAAAGATAAAAGTTTTAAACAATGCATCTTAGCATTCGTACAAAGACTGTAAATTCATGATTTGACATAATAATAGACAAAAGCTGTTTAAAAAGTGCTGCCTTGGGGCGTCTGTAGCTTAGCCGTTAGTGCTTGCGTCCCATGAACAGAGGCTGTAGTCCTCCTAGTGGGCGGCTTGTGTTGGAGTCCGACCTGCGGCTCCTTTCCCGCATGTAGTTCCCCACTTTCTCTCTCTCTCTCTCCGGTTGTCTGCCTGGTGTGTGCTGCGAGCTATCCCAGAATGCTTTGCACATCGAGTTCGAGTTGCATATCAGGCTGGTGGCATCACTTTTTAAACATTTTTCCTCCATCAGTATGTCGCAGTCATGAGTTCAAAGATATACTGTTTAATAAATAAACCCTTTGGAGGTGCAGTCTTAATCAAGACAACAAGTGAGCAGCAGAGCTTTGTGCCGCGTCTCTACGCCTGGAGGATTTGTGCTGTGTGTCCGCCATGGTAAATGGACTTGAGCTTGCAGAGGGGCTCGTCTCTAAACCCGAAGGTCAGGGTTTCATACATACACATATACATAGAAATTCTACGCTATTATCAAACATTGGTATTACAATTGATAAGTTCACGAGAGTTTCATTGACACTAGGTAATTATTCAATCTCTTTTTAAAAACAGCTTTACTGGTAAGAATGGTCATTTCTGATGGAAGATCATTCCACATCTTCATGCCTCCATACAAAACAGTACGTTGTCTTGCGTTAGTGTTTGAGGGTGGAAGTGTAAAACAACCTCTTGAAGCATGCCTAGTATTGAAATCATGACCATTACAGCTAAAAAACAATTGATTAAACAAAGTATTTGGCATTTTAGATGGTTAAATATTTCTGAAAAAGCAAAGCAGAGAAATCATCGTCCTTTCTTTCACTAATGACCGACCTAAAGTTAAGTGCATTTTAGTGATATTAGCTCTTCTGTCACAGTTCAGCGCCCGTCTTGCAGCTCTGTTCTGGACTAACTGTAATTTTTATTTGATGCACTTGACCACACTGCTGGACAATAGTCTAAGTGAGTTAGGACTAATGTTTGTATAACACGATACAGATAACATGGCCAGCATGTCATGTAGTTATTATTATTATATATTAATGTCTCCATGTAGTTATTTATAACACAGGACTGAACAGGTTGCATCTGGAAGACTTCACAAGGGAAAAGTACAAAATACAGTGAGCAGATCAACAGTCTATAAAAAGTCTAAAGTGTATGTGTGGGTGTTCTCTGCATGTTTATGATTCTTCACATGACAAAATCAGCCATTCAGTTGTTATGCATCCGTCTAACACAAAACATGAAATGCTAAAGCTACACTTGTTCTACTCTTTTCTTTATATCCCTAAAAATATAGTCATATAGGAAAAATCAAAGCTTGTCTCCGTGCACAGAATGATAGTTGCATCACAGATATTTAGGCCGTTACATCACACTTCACAGACCTGCCTTCCTTCCTTCAGGCTTTTCTTCGCAATCATTTCTGATTCTGGGAGTCCTGCCATGAAGAGTTGGCATCTCGTGTCAGTGCTGCTGTTGTTAAACCAGCAGCATTAAAACAAACTCGCTGTGAGTTATTTGGTGTGTTAATCACAGCAATGCTGCATCAGAACAATCTGTTGCTCGCTGCTCACACATTAACTGTGAACACCGTGAGACTTTGCTACCTCTTGTCTGATATTGTAGTCAAACTGAGCATTCACATGGAACTCTCTGCGGTTTATTTTTGGGCCAGTTGCAAAGGTACGCAGCAGATTGACAGGTGGATTCAGTCCAGGTTGTCCTCGACTGACTTTTTGGCAAACCTGTGTGAGTGTGTGGGCAGAACTGTCGCCTCGACTCTGCTGTACTTATTTCCCCCCCAAAAAAGAGTGAGCCACTTGTCCTTTCAGTCATGTCTCAATGACCTTGCACAGAATTCTGATGTGTACCTGTGTTTTTTCCCACTCTTGTTGCATTGTCAGGTGTCAGTCTCAGTGGGTGGCTTACACTGAGCCATACAAACACAAGGGCAGAGAGGTGGAGAAGTAGGCAGACAAACAAAACACAGAGGAGGAGAAAACACTTAAACATGCTTTCAGGGCAACAAGAAGAGAATACCAAAACAAACACTGCAAGAAGAGAGGAGACAGCCAGTCAGATATGCAGATAAACAGGGAAGCCTGTCGGCACTCAGACAAATACTCTTGCCAGAGCCATACAGAGATAGTTAGAGATGCAGGCGGTTTGCCAGCGAGGGTGTGCTGTGCGCTTCGTCATACTGTGGCTCACTGAGATGCAGATAAGTGCTGCGAGGGTAGAGGAGGACAATGGAGCCAAAAACAGAACAGAGATGAGCATGTAGAGGAAGACTGATGGATGTAAAAGAAGTGATTCTTCAGCTCTGACTAATTGAGATCCTCTGTGAGAGGACAGGCTGATGTTTCCTGCCATGTCCCGTCAGTTCACACAGAGGCTTAAAGTGATTGAAGTGCAGCCCGGTGCAGGAGAGCGACTGTGAAAATGCAAATAATCAAGACATGTGGTCCGGCAGACGGGGGACGGCAGGCCTGCACCGTCTGGTTCGCAGTTCAGTGAGACGCTGGGTGAAGCTGGGAGGACAGTGTATACAGGCGAGTGTATACATGTCGTCCCAGGGAGCGGCGGAGAGGTGGCCTCTGAGCCGGGTGACAGATTACAGGTCACTCATGTTGCCACGGAGACTGCAGCGGCTGGCGGAGATGAATCACCCATCAGCGTTCTTCTGTAAACCATCAATCACCCCTGACTTCTCACTTCAGACACTGACTCCCCCCCCAGACACACACACACACACTAACACACACACACACATTAGGAGGAGGATGCAGCACAGAATCTCACAGGGGATAAGTTCTGCTGACGAATCAACTCCAACTGAGAGAGAGCACGCCCCCCCCCCATCCTCTCTCTGTCTATCAGCCTTCCTCTCTACTCACGCTCTCCTCTCTCACCCCCACATATCACTTCACCTGTCACTTTGGTGCCAGCCTTCTTTTCTGTCACCTGCTCCTCTCTCGCCTCTGCCCTGTTTTCCATTTCTCTTCATCTCTCCGCGTCCTCCGAGTCACGCAGCTCATCTTCACCCCATCGAGCTTTGTTCCACAGCCATATATATATATATATATCAGTCTCCGGTGTCTGGACGGGCATCTCGCTGCCCAGCACCACACAGCGAGCAAATCACTGTTGACATTTTAAAAGGCACTGGATCAAATGGCCCACTGTGGGCCGGGTATGTGGAAGCACCATTTGTTCAATGACTTCAACATCCCAGTAGACGTTATCATTTGTCTCCGGTCTGGCCGGCTAAGAGGAAAGGTTAAATCATAGTGACAAGCAAAAGCCACAACCATAAGTCCAATCAGGCTGCTGATGCTTCAGACTGAGGAGATGATTTGTATCTCCAGCCTGTGTTTGTTCCTATCAATGACTTCTATTTCTAACTCTTTGCAGATATCGAACGTTTGTGTCCGAGGACGCAGGCCCCAACACTCTGGTCGCAACAGTTCTGGCCAAAGACCCGGACGGAGACGGGATAATCTATTCAATAACAGCCGGCAATGAGGAAGGGAACTTTGTCATCGACAGCCAGAAAGGTGATACTTCTTCATTTTCCTTCAAGGGGGTTCACACTTTTTAAGTTCTCGCTCTAATTGACAGGCTTTTCGTCAAATCACATATTCAATTTCCACTAACATATTCCTCCTACAATGGCGTGTAATGAACGCCCTCTACTCTCAAAGTCAATGTGGAAAGGTATTAAAAGTTTTTATGAAAAGCTGTAACTTCAAAACGAGTGCTGCTCTTTTCATTATTGAGGTCATAAAATGTAAACGATGACATTATTTAGGAAATTTCCACTCTGGGTTTCTCTTTTTTTTCCTTCGCTCTCACAGAGGAACGTTTCCCGTCTTTCTAGCGCTGGCGACTGCACAGTTTATCTTTTTTTTTTATTTATGCTTTGATCCGAAACCAGTGGCAATCACTGTGACATTTGTCACCCAACCCTTTCAATTCAATTTCACAACAACTGCTCTATCATGGCTCACAATCTGCAGGCTGCGCTCTGTCGGCTCTCCTTCCCTTTGTGTCCGCTTTTTATATTCCCTGCCACCTATTTTTGTGTATTTTTCAGAGCAAAAAATTACTAAGGCTGATATCCTTTGGGTGCATGGAAAACCACTATATGGCTTTCCACTTACGGTGCTGTATATACCAGGAGGACTGCCTCATTGAATAGCCGCTTGTCGCATTTGTAAACAAGGTTGACATTTAAGCCCAGAGAATTACCGTGTGCATCGCACAGTTCACTTATTTTAATGTAGTGGTGCAGCGCTGTCAATGTCACGCACCGTCATTAGGAGCCAGGATGCTTCTCTGCTCTTTGGGCAGCAGGGAAGACGAGTAAATTGGGAAGAGAGGAAAGTCAGGCACTCGCATCCTCGTGTGTCAGCATGCCGAGCTGTCTTTAATCAAAAGCATTAAAGGAGATGAATCGAAACACACAGAGAAAATAAAAAACCTTCCGATGCTTTCACTTCAATGACTTTCCCCCACATCACAGACTGCATGTTCGTCCTGCAACCTCTGATGTTTTGTTTCACTCTCGACGAGAAAGATGTTGACTCAGATGCTGCATCCTTTTATCCCACCTTTGATCCTCACTGTTACATGAAAGCAGACAAAGAGGGGAGGGGGGGAACAGCTAATAGGCATCTGCTGAGCATGGTTAACTTCTAACCCCAGTCACTTACGACTTCATGTTTGCGCTCAAGTGCCTGAGTTGGATGGGCATCTTCGGAGGAGAGCGTGCAATTATTTGATTAGAAAAGTGACGAGATCACAGCTGTGAAATTGCTTTTTGGGTTTAGTCTGCATATCAGATATTTTTTACCTTTCTCTGGAACTCTGAGGTGGATTTCTGCGTCTTGCTATCTCACTTTGAAGAACAACAACATCCAGTTTACATCCCCCGCTTTGTTTTTTATTGATGGCATCCTTCAACATGCAAGGCCGCTGTGGCAGTGACATCCATGCTTAAAGACTAATGGAACAGATGTACTTACTGTGTTTTATAACGTGCCATTCAACGTGTGCGTTGTCTTTGAAGGGTTGATTCGTCTCCGCTCCACTCCCCTGCCCAAGCTTCAAGGCCTGGAGTACGTCCTGAATGTGACGGCCACAGACGACAATGCATCAGGCGGACCGCACCCTCTCTCCTCCACCGCACGTGTCATCGTCGGAGTGGATGATGTCAACAACAACAAACCTGTCTTTGAGGAGGTCAGGATCGATTCTTTGTTTATCTTGTGAATCGAGTGTTAGCATAATGCATTAGCTAGCATGGTCACCTTCCACCTTCCTCACATGACTTCAGGACAGTTTCCAGATAATTTCCAGACATACCGGCCCTGAAATGTTCCAGACTTTCCCTTTCAAACACAGCGGGAGAATTTCTGTGTGGTGTAGGTTCATAAGAACACCTGGGGAGAGCGTGCAGGAGGAGGAGTGTTCAGTAACGGCTCTCGTTAGCGTGCTAATATCTAGGGCCCGACCAATATCAGATTTTTCCATGCTCCAAGAGGTGACTGGCTGAAAAGAGACAGTGCACGTTTCTTTATGCTATGCTAAGCTAACTAGCTCATGGAGGTGGTTTCATTTTTGCAGCACAGATATGAGGGTCTCAGCATCTGTTTTACGAAATGTAGAATGACTCCTTTAAAGCATTGTTTTGGCTCTCTGTTGTTGCTGCTGTCATCCTGAAGCCGTCTAAATTGCTGACAGTCGGTTGTTTTGACTCAAATCAAAGATTGTGCTTACACAATATGGCCTACAAAGGTTTTTTCTGCCTGTCTGCCTCTTCCTCTCAGTGCACTTCAGTTATTCCTCCGTCTATCACTCCTCCCTCTCCCTCTCTTTATCCCACCTGCCAGCTCTCCCTGAGTTTTTCTTTCTTCGGGTTTTTTTTTTTTTTTTTGCCCTGGCGTTCTCATTTCCCCTGGCCTGCGTCTCTCCGCGCTCTGTTTTCCCATGAGTTCTGATTAGCCTGCACACCCCCTCTATCTTTAGGCTCTCCATTGGGGTTTCAATTAATTTATGGGGGGAAAAAGTGCAACATCATCACAATATAGTCTACCTGTTTAATTAACTTGCTCCTTAATTAGGAGTGACTTGAACTTGTACAGGAGACAGCTCCTGAGGTCTGTCAGTTTGGCCGTAAGTCTCTACAACTCGACGTGTTCAAATTTCAATTTACGCCTCAGAACCATCTCGACTAGCATGACCTTCTGTGTGATATAATGTGAGTTTTGTGAAAAGATACCTGCAGGCCGTACTACTGTCTGTGCCATCACGACCCATTAACCCCTGCTTTATTCCTCTCTACAATGCTCCCTCTCATCCTTTGATCCGTATCGGTCTGGCTCTCGCTCCTCCTCGCCGTTTGTTTTCCCTTTTTTCATGGTCATTCTGTTGAAAGAGAAGCATGCATTTATGTCTGATTTCAAAAAGAAAGACTCCAGAGAGTGCCTCTTTATCTGGGGCATATGTTCATTAGGGGGAATGGATTGAATCCGCGGCTAAGACAAAGCTGTTCACTGCTGGCTCTTCAAAAGAAATAAGCTAAAATGTTTTCCTTTCTATAGACGCTGCCTGCTGTATCTATACTGTACCTCCCTGTGTGTGCATCGTGCCCTATTCCTATGATCCTTGTACTCTCTTTGCTGTAAGATTTTTTCATTATATATTCTCATACATATTAAGGATGCTTCTTGTTTGTTTGTCTCTCCTTCTCTCTCTCTCTCTCTCTCTCTCTCTCTCTCTCTCTCTCTCTCTCTCTCTCTCTCGCTCTCTCTGACTCTCAGTGCCAGCAATATCGTGAGCAGGCTTCAGTGCTGGAAAACCAGCCGACGGGGACTTTTGTGTTGCAAGTGCATGCGGTGGATGCAGATGAGGGAGCAAATGGAAAAGTCAAATATGGCTTAATGCACAGAGACAGCGCCATGCCCGCCTTCAGAATCCATCCAGACACAGGTAGAGTGGACACGGATGTCTGGGCTAAAATAGCTCTCAATTAGACGCAGAGCAAAGGGCTCACTGTGCAAAGACAGCGCTGCTTTTCAACTCTAATTGACATCCAGTCATTTATTGTAAAGTGTGACCTTAGCTGAGAGGAAATGTGCTCATAACTGAACTTTATATTTGAAAGAATATGCATCAAATGCCAAAACCTGCCCGTCAATCATCATTGTGTTTATTTAATTTATTTAATGTGGACGTCTCAGTGAGAGCCCTCGAAGTATGAATGTGAATCTACATAATGAAGCTCATATAGTCTCTGCACGTTGGGTCAGACCTCTGTTTTCATTTCTCATGATTTCATAACAAAGTCCCTGCACTTTAAAGAAATGCTCGACTTTCTCAGAACACATTTATGATTGTTGACTTGTTTTCCTGATTCATGGATGGACGCTACGACGGATGAAAAGACGGATGGATGCTTAAATGCGGTGCACAGACGACTGAATTGGAGAGCAGCTGAACGGGTGGATGAATAAATATTTATTCATGTGTGTCTTTGCAGGAGTGATTGTGACAGCCCGGAGGTTCGACAGGGAGCGACAGAGGGAGTATTTGATTACGGTAACGGCCACTGACTGGGCCGAGGAGCCACTCATCGGCATCTGTCAGCTCACCATCCAGATTCTGGACCAGAATGACAACAGCCCAAAGTTCGAGAATTTGCGCTACGAGTGTAAGTGTTTGAAACAGCTGACGCAACAAAAACGAATATCATTAAAGCAGGAATATAACGAGGACCATGAATACGAACGACTGTGTTTAAAGGAGATCTATTAAAGTCACTGTCAGCATTAATGATGTCACTCTGGGACACCTATAGAGTAGAGTTGTGAGATGTGTAGCTCAAAAACCTCCTCATGTATCTGATACTGGCGTCAGTAAAATCTCTCATGTCAGCCTCTGCCTGAAACGCTTCATTTCAGCGGCTGTCTCTTTAAGGCCCCCCTCCCCCCCTCCCCTGGTGCCCACTCTCCTCTGATTGGCCAGCTCTGTTTGCAGTGTCAGGAACATTTCAAGTGAACTTCTGGGTGGGGGTGTGTCCTTCAGAGAGCTGCTGGGGTGGACGTGTCCTACAACTTTGCCAGGTTCTGGCCAAGTCTCACAGGGTTCTCGTAACATCTCGTTCAGAACAGCAGGAAACCACGTCCGGGGATTACGCCAACAACCATGTATCTTGTGTTGTGTGGATATCAAACATCGCAACATTTTATGTATGTGTTTAAATATGAATCAGCAGAATAGACCTCCTTTCAGTATCAACGTCATGTTTCCTACTCCTCCTGTTTGACAAAAGTGAAAACAAAATACCCCCCACGATGGAAGCTGGCATATTGCACATTTGACGTCCTACTGTTCAGTTGGTGTTGTCACGGCAACCCCTGTGGACAAAGCTGTACTTCTTATTTCTTGTCTTCTCTTGTCCCGTGCATTCATAAGTAGCATTCTGCAAAGAAACAAATCCTCCTGTTGTTTTTAAGCTGTTAAACTTATCACAACTTATCTACTTCTCCCCACCCCACACCCCCGATGAAAACGACCTCCAAGTTGACAGTAGTGTAGAAAACCGGGGGCGATCCGACCTGAGGAAGAGAATATGTTTACAGACGAGCTAACGTATCCGAGTATAATTTACATGACGTTTTTATCACAGCAGCACATACAGCAACAGTACGGCAGCTTTCAGAAGCAGCTCACGCTTACTTATGCAGCAGTCATTGACAAAACATCCGCCGTTTCCACGGCAACGATACACATGCTGTGTCTGCCATGTCCTCTTACAACTAATAAATGAATTATTTCTATGTTTTGATAACTGTTGGAAATATTTGAGGTAATGTAAGTACTCAACAAAAACATTTATAACATGTGTTTAGTTTAGTTTAGTTACCATGCCTCACACTCAGCCTCACATGTTTTTTCCCCCCCCTGTAGACTTCCTGAGAGAGGACACGCTGGTCGGCACAAGTTTCCTGCGCGTGGCGGCTCACGATGACGACTTTGGCACTAATGCAGCGGTAACTTACTCCATGTCCCTGGAGCCACCCGAGTACCTGCGGGTCAACCCCGTCACTGGATGGGTCTACGTTAATCAGCCCATATCACAGGTCGGTCATCGCTTATTACCCACTGCTACACACACACACACACACACACACACACACACACACACATACAGTCTGTGTCACATAGCGGCCTCTGGGTCTGTGTCGACAAAGTTAATGAATGATCCGCCTCAAAGTGATCCGGGATGTGTGTACTCCCAGAGGTGCTGCATTTGAAAACACCACAGAGGAAGAAGATGGAGGCAGCAGAGTCATGCAGGCTAAACACATTATTAAAAATAGATCCTAACAGCTTGAGATTCTTGTGGTTATTTATGATGATTCCACTTCCACTGATACCATAGAATATCCTTGAAATATGTGTAAGAAACAGCTTTAAATAAGCGTATCTGTCAGACAGAGACCGGAAAGCTCAGGTCTGCTAAGAAGCTAATTATCAGGACTCTTTGCGTGGCCTTGCTCAAACAGGTTCGACACTTTAATTTGAGTGTATCATCTCGCACTTTGATGAGGAGACTTGCCGGCGTGCAGCAGCTTTGGGCGAGTCGTGTACTTTGATGCTATTAAGTGAAACAATTCGAAGGCCATACCTGCGATTTCACTTGCAGAGCACGATCACCTCGAAGCCAACGCCTTCTCTGAAACCCAAACTGTAACGTGCTTTAGAAAAGTGCTGCAAAGATCATTCCCCTGAAGAGAAATAAGACAGCTCCTTTTTTTTTTCAAAAGGGAATTATTTGAGCGTTATATAAATGATTGTGTTTAACATGTAAAGCAGCAGCAACAAAGGTTATAAATCTGTCCTCCAGTGGTCGCTGTCCATTGACTAATTGATGCACTTGAAGTGGATTACTGTGTCAGAGTGTTTGAGCGACATGTTGGAGCTTTTCATGTTTTCTTCTTCAAAGATAGAAGTTGTTCTGCAGCTACAAACTTGCCACAGCACTATAAAGACGTGTATTATTTAGCATACTTTCTTATTATTGGAAGTCCCTGGCAATTTTGCTGCTGACTTCATGCAAAATTGAAAGTGCTCAGCCCCAGACCTCGCTGAACAAAGCTGCTGCATATTTAAGAGCGGTTTCTGAGTCTGTTTGAATCATGCAACGAGCTTTGTGCTGTAACTAAGACTGTAAAAGCACTTCATTAAATGTTAAAAGTCTCCGCCGGTCCAAGACGTTGTTCTAACTTGATTTTCTCATCAGAGTTTCTGATTACAGGGAACGAGTATTCAGCAACAATCTGCAAAATTTTCACAACACAAACTTCACAGGAGAACTTGCAGCTCTGCTCCCAACTGGCAACTTGCAGCCTTTCTGAGAGAAAACTCTAAAGGAGACACTCGGCGATTATTCCTGTGCCCAAATACAGTAGAGCCAGCTGGATCCATGCAGGGCCAGCCGCCTGTACAGCACAACTCTGCAGGGAATTTAGAACAGAATATAGAACAAGATGGTCTGCGGGAATCCAAATCATTTGATGGATAACTTCAGGTTCAGATGTGACCAGAGGCGGACTGGATTTATCATTCAGGCCGGGGGGGCTTGACTCCATCCCGGGCCATCCTGTCCACAGGAACCATTAGTTGTGAAAGCTAACTTTCCTGCACAGTTACTTGCAAATTAATAAAATCGCAATATGACCAAGTGGAATATCCAAATCGCAAACCAGCATTTATAAGATAGAATAACAAGAGAAAGGTAAATGTGTCATGAAGCTCCCGCCTGCGATCTCTGTTCTCCAGACGTAATAAATCACGTTTGTTTGGTGAAGACACCAACAAAATGTAACAACATCATGATTATACTCTCCATATACTAACCTCTTGGTCACAACCTTTGTGACCAAAAGAATAAGATCGCAGATACGAGGGTGTCAGCCTAAGAGAGAGGGGGTGGAGCTCAGACATTCAGGGGGAGCTCGGAGTAGAGCTGCTGCTCCTTCACATCAAAAGAAGCGAGTTGAGGTGGTTCAGGCATCTGATCAGGATCCTCCTGGACGCCTCCCTTTGGAGGTTTTCCGAGCACGCCCTTTTGGGAGGAGACCGCGGGGTAGCTCACTGGAGGGATTACATCCCCCAGTAGGAGCTGGAAAACGTTGCTGCGGATAGTGAAGTCTGGCTTGACTTACTGCGCTTGCTGCCACAGAGACACAACCTCGAATAAGCGGAAGAAAATGTATGGATGGATGGATCATGGTTTTAACCATCCGGCAACTTGCTGAGCACAATAAACCAACCCAGAGAGTCGCACTCGCACATGATAATGTGTGCGCTCAGAAAGATATTCACTCATTCTTGCTGCTCACATTGACTGCTCACAGCAGGACAAATAGACCCTCAGGCCACCCGGCCCAGTGCTCCAGACGTACCTGGATGTGACACTTTTAATATAAATGTAATTATAAACCTGAGCTGGATGTTTCCACAAAGCCATTCAGACTGGCATTGATTGTAAAAGCAGCAGCAGCTTGGTCCACATCGGACATCACAGATTACAATCTTTGTTCTCTGTGTGGTTTGGAGCTTCGGAGGAGACTTGTTCACAAATACTAATTGGATTGTCCCGAGAAGAGAAAATGTAATTCTGGAGTTAAGTGAGATTTCTTTTTATCAGGCTGCAGCAGTACAATAATAGAGTCACCAAGCCTTGATTTGCATTAATACATTCATTACATTGTAACAATTGAATCCTTATTTGACCAGTTTTTGTATTAACAAAGTGGTTTAACTATGACTTTTATTATTTTTCACTGTGAGTGGATAGAATGAAATTTAATTATCTTCTCTTAGCGGTGAAAAAAAGCTCTTTAGAGGATTTCAGAGTTTTTTCACTCTGCTGTGAGTTTAATATGATGTAACACATTATCTAATTCAGACAAACAAAGTCAAGCACTTCAACAGCAGCTGAAGGAACATTTCCATTTACCCTGTTGTGTCCCATGTAGTGGACAGAAGCTCAGATTGCTTCTTTTTTTTAAAAGTGCAGTCACTAATCTCTGCCGTCATCACGTTTAGTACGTTCATTTTTATTCAGCGATTGTGTTTTATTGGTGCCCCAGTCTGTGAAGTCACATTGCATTTTAGCGAGCATGGAGCTCCACATACATACACAGTTAGACATGCACGCACACACAGCGCCGTTTTCTAGAGCCTGACTGATTAGCCAGCCAATAATATCGGCCAATATTAGCAAATCCAGTCACTATCGGTATCGGCTAATTTAGTCGCAGATATGCGCGATATTTCTAGATTTATTCACCAGTCAAAAAGCATTTCATTTGAGATTAAGTGTATAACGCTAGCAGTTCTCTTTCATCAGCAGAGGGCGCTATAAGGATTACTGCAAGCATCATCACTCTCCAGAGTGTCAAGATGTGACGCACGCACATGCGTAGTTACTTTCCAGCTGAGTGACCATCCTGTTTGATAACTGCAGATCTATATCTATCTCTACAGAGTGAAGAAAGATCTAAGAAAGATATCGGCCGATATATCGGTATCAGATCTTTTCCCTCCCTGATATCGTTATCGGTATCGACCCAAAAGTCTCATATTGGTCAGGCCCCACTGTTCTCTCCCGTCTCTTCCCCATAACGCCTCCAGGACATTCAGATTGACGGTGAAACGTCACAGGGGCGTAAATATCGCGGCTTGAAGCAGCAGACTGAACAGGGCTAGTGTTGTCGTCAAGACCACTCTTACCAGGGCGCTGTTGGCGCAGTGGTTAGTGCGCGCGTCCCATGTATGGAGGCTGTAGTCTCCCAAGCGGGCAGCCCAGGTTCAATCAGACCTGTGGCTCCTTTCCCGCATGTCATTCCCACTCTCTCTCTCCCCCTGATTTCCGACTCTATCTACTGTCCTATTTCTCCATTAAAGGCACAAAAAAGCACAAAAATAAATCTTTAAAAAATCTTTACCGAGACCAGAGTGCTCCAAGACCAACAAGACCAAGACATTTAGAGGTCGACGCTAAGTCAAGACAAAAACCCAGACCAAGACCATAAATATCACAGAAAATCATCCTCTTGAGTGCAGGAGGCGTGTCACTCACTTAGCCAGTGACACAGGGAAGATTGCAGCCGTAACCATGTGGATAAAAATCAAACTAGTTATATGAACAAGTGATATGTTGTTTGAGAAAGAGGTGTTTTCCTTCTAATCACAGAAATGACTTGGAAAAATAGCCTATCAGTGGGGATCTTGACTGGTCTTGATTTTAAATCTGGAGTCCACCGAGTCTGAGACCGAGACAAGACTGCATGCTTTCGATTCCGAGACGAGACCTTCAAAAAGTGGTCTTGAGCCCGGTCTGTCTTGATACCAAGATTTTGAATACTACAACACTAAACAGGGCTGATATCTCCTTACTTTCTGGTGCTTCAATCACAGCACAGTCACTAAAGTAAAGTGGATATTTTGCAGCCTGAATTACACGTCAACCAGCTCCCTCTGTTCCAAATCTATCCAAGTGATGTTTTTTTATAAATTCAAACAAAAACTTCAGATTCAGGTATGAACTGGAAGTTATAACTGTCAGTCTGCTGGATGATGCTAATTTACTAGAAACCTGCGAGGCTAAGCTGAAGGTAACACGACTTACCGTGAGGATAAAAAGACGATCACACACACACACTCACACACGCACACGCACACGCACACGCACACGCACGCACACACACACACATGAACATGCACCGACTCACTTCAGTTGCAAACCTCCTTTCACTGCTATTCTTGCTGAAGCTTCTAGAAATTTGTGCTCATAAACTATTGATGCATGTGCAGAATCTGTGCAGGAAGGTAGACAGGCAGGTATGTCATCGTGTTTTTGTCAGGATAAAATCATGAGATGGATTCAAAATAGACCTTGGACTGCAGGGGAAACTGGATCTTTTTTTCTTTATTGCTGAATCATTTGGTTCATTTTTTGTTTGCTGTTTGGATTGAAAGTTTATTTAATAAAAGCATCAAAAATTTAAATGAAATGACCTGCCCTATCTTTAGACCCCCTCCCATCACTTATTTTGTTTTGGAGCAATATGGGAATCAGAGTCATGTTTTTTTTGGGCCAGGTACAAGGACAACATGCTTGATACCTTAATCTTGTTTATGTGTCTTTACGGTCCGAGTACTGCTGTTTGAAGCTTCGTTTAATGTTCCTCCTCTAAGTTATGTTGTAGTCAACACCACACTAACCGAGACCAAGACATACCCCAGACCAGAGTACGAGACAAGATGAAGACCAAAGCAGGGCAAGACCGAGACAAGACCAAGGCATTTAGGGATCGAGACCGAGACAAGACATCACTCTTAACACACAAGATAATCTTTAGAACATTTAAGAATTTTAGACCTTGTTTAGAAACGTCTTAAAGCGGTCTCATAGTTGTCCAGATAGTCTTTTTACTCGACATAAACATCATCATGCCCTCTCACTCCTTTCAGGGAATCTTCCGGATTATTTCCTGCTGCGTTCACACATCAGATCACACTGACTTTGTGCAGAAAATGTACGAGGGGGCTGCAGGAACAAGTCTGTATAAAATCAGGGGGTGAATAACTCAGCTGTGTTTGTTCACACATGCTGCTCACCATGAAACATTCAGGAAACTCATAAGTTTTGTGCATGTGTGAAAAGAACTGCTGGACGATTAAACAGAGATTGTTTCTGAACCCGGTGACCAAAACAAAAGTCCTGTGGGGTCATTAAAGTCGATCTCATCTGACCTGTGACTGAGTTCAAAACATTCATCAGAGTGACGGCCCGGAGATAAACTGTTCATTTGTCAGATCATTTATCCATCTATCTTATTTAAAGCATGTTAATGAATTCTAAAAAGATTTACAACCAAACAAGAGAAGCAATAGAAAAATGAAAAGTACTCCGAGATGTAAGACAAAGCTGTAGGCTACCTGTACTGGAGAATCAAAGCCAATGACAGCTTGTCACAGAAATATAAACCTGTTTAAATGTTAACCATTTGCTGAGAAATTAGACACATCAACTGTTTGACGTCTTCTGCAAAATCTGTCAAACACTTCCAGTAAACAGTTGTTATTCATTTCTTGTATTGACTAAGTGTTCCAGCTGTGAATGCTGTGATGTCTGACGTGTCATTGTTGCCTGCAGAGAACTTACATCACGCGGGAAATCATAGCGACTGATGGAGGAAACCGAAGCACCGCCGTAGAGCTGTCAGTCACCATCACCAACGTGAAGAACCAGCCGCCGGAGTGGGACAAGGAGAGCTACAGCGTGGTCATCCCTGAAAACACGGCCAGGGACACGCCCATCGTGGTATGTGTGCATGTAGCTCTGCCTGCAGCTTTAAGATGTTTTCTCGTCTTGTGTCTTTTTGAGATGCTGTTTTTGTTGTTTGTTTGTTTGTTTGTTTGTTTGCTTGCTACACAGCGTTCTCTTTGTGCTCAGAATCGGTCTCTGAAGGCTTGTCAGAGAGCGTGTTTGAGCTGTATGCTGAATGAGGAAGCTGACACCAGATCACATGTGTTAAGCAAGTTTCATGACTGCAGGCGCATTAAATCCAATCAAAAAGTCTCCTTTGATGTGAGAAATATATTCTGTCAATCTGGAGAGCGCAAAAATCCCTTTTCATTCCTTCAAGGTCCTCACGAGGGGATTCATTTAGAGATAAGAGGTTGTTTCAGGACTCCGATAAAAGATATGACTGACGTCTTCACTCTGTTTCTACTCAGATAATCAATTAGCAAGCTTGGTATCAAAGTTTGGACCAATCAGTGCGTCTCGCAAACCACAAAACATAAGTGTGGTGTGACACTGTTCTAAGGTCACATGTGAACAAATATCAACATTAAGGATATTACCTTCTGACTTGCCGAGACTTGGATGAGAATATGGATACTACTTTGATGTCTGGATGACTAGCTCAGCATTCAGAGAGGATGTAGGGAGCTAGCTTGGCTCTGTCCAAAGTCTAAAATAATGTGCAGCTAGTGTTTTAACTGATTGACTGATTAACTTTTCCTGATGACCTCCTACATTTCCTCTTTAGCTTTGATGAATCTACATACAGCCTCAGGTGGAGCCTGTCAGCTTTTTCGCTGTGAGCATACTGGTTCTGTGGTGTGTCCATATCGCTTTGATTAAATGGCTGAGATGGAGCAGATCCTATTGAAAGCTCACAGGCATCAACCAAAGTGACAAACTGGATATGAGGAAGATAAAGCTTTGAAACAGAGTCTGTTCTATGTGGTCTCTATGAATACCTATGGTTAGTATTTACCATAGAAGTATAAGAGCTTCTTTGTGCCTGTGACCTTAAAGGTGGAGTCAGTAGTTATGGTCATTGCAATTTGTAAACACAACATTCATTTTGGTCCCCTCCTCCTGGGCTCATCGTATGCCCATTGCAGGACTTTTACTTTTTTGTATGTTTACAGCTTGTACCTACACTGTTAGCTACCTGAGAATATTACGCTTGCTGTCATGGAAAAGCCGATAATTTAGCGAGCTAGCACACGCTAACTGCCGGTGTTTGTCACCTGCCTGTCAAACAGGAAGCAGACCAACTTCACGTCCACAAGTAACAACCAACACAAGGTTCACCCTCGTTTTCAAATGTGCTTTATCCGCTTGGCTCTTCACATCAATATTATAAACACACCAGCTCTCTGCTCAGAAATGTCCAAGTCAACCGAAACACATGAACATGAAACACCAGAACATGAAAATCCAGGGACTAGGACAGAGTCTGCAGCGTCACCACCACACATATAATTTTTTGATTATCACAGATGAGGACTGTTGCTCGGAACGTTGTGATTTTAATGAATTAAAGGCTTTTGTGGCATTTGAGCAAGTGTGCGGGCATATCTTCCGCCTCACTCTGATTTTATCATCATCCCCATAACGAGGAGGCAAATCAGCTCCCTCTTTATTTAATCCACTAAATAAAGAAAGCTGGACTGGATGTACGCGTCAGACTTCCTTCTGTTCTGTAAGCACCAAGAACATAATACTTTAACAGAACCTGTCATCCAGGCCTCCAGCCAAGCAGACTAATGATTTCACCTCTCCTCCTGCTCAGACGATCAGAGCCACCTCTCACCTGGGTGACCCGCGGGTGACCTACAACCTGGAGGACGGGATGGTCCCTGAAACCAACATGCCAGTCCGGTTCTATCTCTCACCAAACCGTGAGGACGGCTCTGCTTCCATCCTGGTGTCCGAGCCGCTCGACTACGAGACCACGCCATTTTTCTCCCTTCGGGTTCGAGCGCAGAACGTGGCTGCTGTTCCTCTGGCGGCCTTCACGACAGTCTACATCAATGTTACAGGTGGGGTTTGTGATTTTGTGTTACATAGGGAAGTTTCAGTCATTTTTCTTAAAGTCAGCATGAAATAAAAATAAATGTTCCCGTTTTAATCCAGCATTCCTCTCTTAAAGGTCACATATTCTCCTCTTCAACCAGTTTAAATAAGTCTCTGAGCTCCTCAAAACATGTGTGTGAAGTGTCTTGTTCTAAATCCACTCTGATCCTGTATTTGATCATGTCTATAAACCCCTCTATTTCAGCCCTGCTCAGAACAGTCTGTTTCTGTGTCTGTACCTTTAAATATTTAAATGAGCTGTGTCTGACCACGCCCCATCTCTGGAAGGGCTTGGGTGTCTCGGGCTTTCTCGCTCCATGTCCTATTGTTTACGGTGAGAAGGCAGACTCAGAGGGAAGAACAAACACCTAGCTGTGGGAGTGTCACCCACATGGGGGAGGGGCTACTGCCCTCTGTGATGTCATGAAGGGAAAATCTCCAAACGGCCTGTTTGAGCACACATTTTCTGAAAAGTGGAGCAGGCAAAAGACAGAGAGGATGGACTTTTCTCATCATTGGGGGGTTTGTAGACAGACTAGAGACACATAGTGTTAGAGAAACATGGTGGAGTGGATTTAGAAATATATTTCCATAAAGCATTCTCTGAGTATTTTTACATCTTAATAACTTTACTTTATCTTCCTGTAGAACATGTCAAATTTCTGATGATTCATCCTGCTCTCAGGGGCGTTTACTAAATTTCCGACCAATTATGACGCTAACGACAGAAGCTAATGCCAATGTGATGACCCGCCTTCTGTCTTCTGATTGATTACTTCTTGTTTCAGTCGTCCTCTGCAATTTTAGTTTGAAGCCATTAGAAAAACAGCAGGTATATTAAGCTACTGCTGGGTAATAATACTGTAAAATGTCATATGTCACTTTTGATCGGTTAAACCATGACATGTATAAATAACTTTTAAGATGTCAAGCTAAACTACACAATTTAGTCATTAAAGTTCTTCATCTGAGGCTTTGTTCCTGCCTGTTATTCTGTTGTTTTTTTTGAATAAATGTAAAACAAACTGATCTTTAAACTGTTCAGTATAATGTTGGGTTCATGTGCAGGGGAAAGCTGAACTTCAGTCTGCATGAGTAAGCAGCTGTAGTAAACATGCTAATATATATATATTTTTTTTCTGCAGGAAATCAAACCCCTAAATCTTTAATGCACACAGTTACAGAGACTTCAGCTCGGGATGCAACAGAATTTATTATCTAATTACTGTTTGGAAATGAACACATTATTAATTACCCATAAATCTCTCTTCACTCTATAGATGTCAACGACAACGTGCCATTTTTCACCTCCTCCATCTACGAGGCATCGGTGACTGAGGGAGCTCAGATCGGGACTTCAGTCCTGCAGGTTTCTTCCCACGACAAAGACCTGGGGCTTAATGGAGAGGTTGGTGCTCTCCTATTTTGTGTGCATTGCAGGTCAAAAGAATTGGGAATTTTCAATCAAATCTTCAGGATCTTTTCTTAGGGCCACTTAAGGGCCGGCTTGAAGGATTTGCAATATAATTGGTCGCCTAGGGTGCCACATTCAGGGGGGCTCTGGCTAAGGTTCATTACCACTGACAAACAAAAATAGAAACAGGTCTGTGAGCGTTCTGACCGTTTGGAGGGAAATGTTGGAGAAACGTGTGGACAGATCAGACGGTGTGTGTTCCCTCCACCCGTCATCAGTTGTCTGAGCTGATCTGATGTTTCTATAGATTATGTTAGCTTGAATGAATGTAACAGTAACAGTAACCCCCTCGAACATCTGCACATTCGGGAGCTGCATACGGCCTGACATCTCTGGAGTGCCCTCTAGAGGTATCCTCCAGTAACCTGCAGAGTGCAGAGCCAAGCATGTGAACAACTATGCTCATGACGCAGCTGGCTGTGGCTGAAATGAAAGAGTTTCCTTCTACTTTAAAAGGCAATTTGATCAGGACGCCAGGACGCCTAGCAGTTGATGTCCCGCACCCCTTGAAAAAAAGGCTATATAATGAACGTCACAGCAGTTGTGGATTTGGATCGGACCTCAGCCTGTTGCTGCATGTCATCCACCGTTCTCTCCTCCTAACATATCCTGTTGCTCTTCAGCTCTCCTACTTATTAAGGCAAAATGCTTCACAAGATAACTTTAAAAGAAAACAGAAATATCTGTGGCTTAGAGTTATCTACTTATATTTGTGCTCTCTGGGTTGTACTGGGGAGTTATCCTAATCCTGCCTCTGGCTCTGAAACCAGTACAGTCTCTGGTCCATGTATCACAATTGGTTGCTCATTCTGTTTCTTCACAACACAATTTAGTACCAGAGTTGTTGGAGTGGTATTGAGGCTGTGTCAGTAACCGAGCCATCACTTGTGTGTGCCTGACTGTGACCATATTGTTGGGATAGAGTATTGATCGGACTTTGCCTGTGATGATGAAGAGACGGTCTCTGAGAAGATGATCGAGAGCTGCTGACATTTTCTACTACAAAGCCTTTAATTCCCTTTATTTCTACAAATTATTGCTCTAAAACACTGTGCCTTCATTTTCTGATTCCCTGTTCTCCTCAGATCACTTACTCTCTGCTGAGTGACAGCAGCGGCGACCACCATCTGTTCCGTATAGACCCAAACCTGGGGATCATCTGCACCGAGGCTGTGTTTGATCGAGAGGCTCGGAGCTCCTATTTGCTGGAAGTTCAGTCAGAAGACGGGCAGGAGTCAGCGCGACCCGGAAAGAACAAGCAGCCCAACTCAGGTTAGATTTGATTAATAATGACAGCAGCCCCTCATGAACAATCATTCCAATAACAAAGGAATCGTACGTTTAGTGAAATATGTGAAAAATTTCAATGGAGAGAGAGATTCTGTCCGTGGTGGTGGCTGAATAACGCTGTTTATTCATCAAACTAACACGTTTAAGACAGCTCGTCAAACATAACGAGAGAGAGAGAGAGCGCGTCCATTGAACAACATGTATCAATGACCTTGAAGTAACTGGTCCTGTCGACACTCTAGTTGCAGTCTTCTGTCCTGATTACAACAAATCTCAATGAGGTTGTCAGACTTTTCAACACTTTTTTTTTGATAGCATGAGTTTTAAAAGGAGATACTCTTTTACTTTAATTATTGATGGCATCAAAGCTTTAAACTACAAACCCAAACATTGCCAAAGTGCGGGGCTGGTCTCAGTGCTAGAGTCCAAAATGGCATGCACATTATAAACACGGCCATAATGCTCATTTCAGCGACTGAACTACCTGAGGTGACACTTAGTGGCAAACTTTAACCGATGCTGAAGTGTAAAATCCTGCAGTTCCTCGAGTGTCCACTAGAGGCTGACTGCAGAAGCACAGGAAGTCACATAAACACCCATTCAAAAAAGCCTGTTTTTACAGCAGAGATTAACATGTTTACAGCCTGGTTAAAAAAAAAAAAAAACAGGTCTGATTAGCTCATGTCTCGATGGACACACACTGTACGGGGGGTGAATGTGTTGATGACTCATCAGTTTTGATTTAATGAAGGATAAGAGTTATTCACAATAAGGCGTGTAGCTAACCTGATAGACAGGCAGGACAACGCCTCTGCTCCAGCTCTCAGGCTTCCTCCATTATTATTTACAGTCTATGGTTGACACCTAGCAGACAGCTAGCAGCTCAAACCTGTCACTCAAAGAGGCCACGAAAGTCAACATCATTTCAAACTATTCTTCCTATATGAGACAAATCTGTGCACGATTTAAAAGTTATTAGTGCACAATCCCTTTTCATTTTAGTCATGCAAATTGTTTTTCCCTGTAATATGTCAGCGTTAACTTTGAAGTGACCTCTGTCCTGGTGATGAAATGTCTCATTCATAAAGAGCGGCATTGTTTTATTTCCCATAAGCCCACTGGGTGACACTGAAAACTCATCTATAAGGGGTTTCCCCTGTGTGCTCTGTGTTTCAAACAGACCACATGACATTATATTCATTGACGCCATGGGATGGACTTGAAGAAATAGTCTTAATTTGCTTTATTCCAGTGTCATGAGCAGACAGACTGGGCCTCCTGAGGTTTCCTGGCTCTCTCTTGTTGTTACAGAGCCTTTTCCCTGCCCCTATTTTAATTTGCCTTGTTCAATATTGAACCAGAACAGCCTGTGTTTGTTTACCATTTTCACTTTGTGACATTTTGGCATTTGCAAAACCTCGGTCTGCATGCAGAGTTACAGAATAATACGTGTGGATTCAGGAGCAGGTCTTTGGTAAATGTTTGTGAGGAGGTATTAGGGGTAAAGGGTGATGTTTTGCAGCAGTAAAGCCTTCTCTCCAGAGTTGCCAAGGCTGCTTAGCATTTGCAATGAGCCTTAGCTGCGTCTTGTGCTACAAATCTCCCACATCCAGAAGGGCTCATCTCCTCTGCAAACATTACCTGTCTCTCTCTGCGTCACCACCGGGACACACGAGGAAGAGGAGGAGGAGGAGGAGGAGGAGGGAAACGTAAAAACAAGTGGAGAAATCCGAAGCCACCTTCAGCACCTGTTTTTACTGCAGCAGCTCTAAATTAACATGTCAGCCATGTGATATGTGAGCAGATAATTTACTCTTTCTAACTAAAGAAATAAACAGCGTAATGAGAGGGGCCTCGACAAGACACAAACACTTGTCATCTTATGAATATTTAACCTTCCCAGAAGACACGTTTTTTTTTTTTTTTATCTTCTCTCTGCGACGGAGCAGCTTGTTGAAGAGATTTAGTCCCATTAGCTTTATTTTCTCTGCTCCAAACGGTTAGCCCAGTTCAAACAATAAACTCCTGACAAAGAGAATCATTTCTGTAATTTACTGCACATCTTTGTGAATAATGTTTTTTCTGATTCCCGTGTCAACGAGGCGCATGGCGCCGGGTTAAGTGCCTCTTCCACACTAAGCAGTGACAATGAATAGTGGAATCAATAAACAGATGGAGGGGGAAAGTGTGTGTGTGTGTGTGTGTGTGTGTGTGTGTGTGTATGTGCGTGTGTGTGTGTGTGTGTGTGTGTGTGTGTGCGTGCGTGCGTGCGTGCGTGTGTTTGTGTGCTTCGTCTTTTAATCTTCTGACATTCTGTCATTTTTGCAGACACAGCATATGTGAGGTTTTCATCAGCGACGTCAACGACAACAAACCAGTCTTTGCTCAGAGACTGTATGAAGTCGGAGTCGACGAGGATGCAGACGTGGGCCTGGCTGTTGTCACTGTTAGCGCTAATGACGAGGATGAAGGTACGCTTGATGAGGCAGCACGGCCCAAGGAGATCTCACTGATGCCATTTCTTTGAAATAAAGGTTAAAGCAGCCAGCCAACCTGAAAGAATTGGAAAGTTATTTTGCATGTAGACACTTGAAAACTTCATGCAGACTATTTCCTGAAACTACAGAAACATTTTGGCAGTCCATCAGTCAGTTTTTCCAGCAGCGGAGTAATTTGCCAAGTAGGCACCTTTTTGGAAGATGGCCTGTGTTTGCAGCAGTGTGCAGCAAAAAGTGACCCTCTGGGCAGTCTCCCAATCTGGCCTGAGCTCTGCTGAAATCATTCAGTGTGCTAGATTTAGCGGTGAGTGCTCGGTAATGTCTGTAGCACATATGTTCCAGAGAGAGTGACAGAGCTCCCACACAGTAGGTGGGCGGGATTTAACCAATAAAGCAGTTGCTCATCCTCCAGTAGCCGTAAGACCCCCTTTTATCGGGCCTGTTTGGGTCCGTTAATCAAGTATTTATGGCGAGTGGGGGTGCAGCTTAGGCCGTCTGCAGCTCTAATGATGAATAGCTGTGCAATAACACCAACCCCAGACATTAAGTTGCAATACTGTTGCACTTGTGTCTAACAGGCTACGCTCAATCCGTCTTGTTTAAAAACTCCACCCTGCTGTAAGCCAGGCAGATCCCTGTGGGAGGCAGGGCGCACTTTGTCAGCCAGGGTGGTGTTAATAGTGCAGATTAGTGTATTTACATGGGATTGGAGCTACTTTAACGCAACAGCGTGATTGAAAGCAAAGACTGTTCATTCCAGGAGATTATTTTATCTATTCCTGTGTTAAACCATCGGGCTGGACGGTCTCCATGGAGACGCAGTAGATAAATTCAGATACTGACTAAACTACCCCGCTCCCCGCCCGCCCTCACAATGATTCCCCAAAGGGTGCTATCAGAGTGCATTACAGTACGCTGCTTTGCTCCCTTTTACTTTTTTTCGTCTTTCTTTTTTAATTAGGATCTGATTAAAGCCGAGTAGACGAGCTACAACGTTTCCATTTAATTAAGTAATCAAAACAAGAAAGGGATACATGAAAACCTACTAATGCTCAGGTGTCAGAGGAAATGAGGTGTAATACTCGTGTGGCTGCGCAGCTCTGTTGTTTGGAGAAAGAAAGTGTTTCTGTTTAAAGTAAGAAAAGCGACAATATTAAAGTGTGTGTGCAGAGATTAAAGAAAATAATTCAAAGGCAGCTGTAAAGTCTGCTGCTACAGCTCCATCCCCTCAAATGTTAGGGCATGTGATGAAAAACAGAATGTGATGGGTTTTAAAGCTTCGTTTTTGATTGAAGGCAGCACAAAGACAACTTTGCAAATGTTGAAACGGAGAAATGTTGATACTATTGAACAGAAATGATTTCCCTATTTCAAATATAAAGCCTGCAACACGTCTGCAAAAAGTTGGGACAGGGTCATGTCTGCCACTCTGTTGCATCACCATTTTTAACAGCTGATGAGACACATTTCTGTTTGAAAGAGTCATGTTTACCATTTTGCTTCTTTCTCTTTTTCAACAGTTTTTAAAAAAGAGAACATTTAGAGACAGGACAGTCGATAGAGTCAGAAACCAGGGAGAGAGAGAGAGAGAGAGAGTGGGGGAAAGGAGCCACAGGTCAGATTCTAACCCGGGTCACCCGCTTGGAGGACTACAGCCTCCATATATTGGGGCGTGTGCACTAACCACTGCTCTTTCTGCACCCCCTACCATTTGGCTTCTTGAAAGATGTCAGCTGTTCAACAGTCCAGATTCTCCTTTGTCTTATTTTACATTTCATAATGCTCTGAACATTTTCAGTGGGTGACAAGTCAGGACCTTAGGAAGGTCAGTTTATGACCCGGACTCTTTCTCCTCTTCTTTTTCTTCTTTTTCTTCTTTTTGCTCTAAAACCTGTTTCTATGGTTCTGAATTAATGGAGCCTTCATAAATGTGCAGGTTACCCGGGCCATGTGCACTAATGCACCCCCATATCATCAGGGATGCTGGCTTTTTAAACTGAGCGCTGAAAACAAGCTGGATGGTCCGTCTCCTCTTTAGCCCGCAGAGGCATCCATTCTTTCCAAACAGAAAGTCAAATTTTGACTCATCAGACCTCAGGACCGTTTTCTGCTCTGCCTCAGTCCATCTTAAATGAGCCCTGACCCAGAAAAGGCAGCAGCGTTTCTGGATCTAGTTCATATACAGTTCCTTCTGTGCATGGTCGAGTTCCAGCTCACGTTTGTTGATGTAGTGACAAACTGTGCTCACAGTTTGAGGGCCTGAAGGTGGTCTGCATTGTCCCCTGCATAAAGATAGAATACATTTATGATTTGATGAACTGTAGAAGATTATTTGCATTTTTAAGTTGAGAAACATTTTTATGTTGCATTGTTTTCCAGCGCAGTCCGTCGCAGGCTGGTGAACCCCTCCCCATATTTACTTCAGATAGACGCAGCCTCACTCTTTCTTTTTAAAGGTTAATGTTCGAGCTTTTTAGCTCTTTATTTAGAGATAGGACAGATAGAGTCAGAAACCCAGGAGAGAGTCGGAATGACATGCCGGAAAGGAGCCACAATTCGGATTTGAACCCAAGGCCGTCCGCCAGGAGGACTACAGCCTCTGTACATGGGGTGCCTGCACTAACAACTACTCTACCAGCGCCCCATCCTTACTCTTTTTATAACCAGTCATTTTACTAACCTGTTGCCAGGTTACCTTATACACTGTGAGATGTTCCACCAGGTGTTTTCTTTTAACATTTCACAACTTCTTCAGACTTTTATTGACACTGTCCCAACTCTTTTGAAACCTGTTGTTGGCATCAAATGACATTACTGACTTGTCTTTGTGCTATTTTTAATCAAATATGGGGTTGTACATGTATGAAGTTCCTTGTAATTTCACTACTTTGACTATGAAACTGATTATTTGCACAATCAGGGATTTCACATCAACCGTGCATTCTGTGATTCCTGCCACAGGTGCGAATGCCAAGCTGCGTTATCAGATCACGTCTGGAAACAAAGGAGGAGTTTTTGACATCGAGCCAGAGGTGGGGACTATCTTCATCGCACAGCCGCTGGATTACGAGGAGCAGAAGAGATACAAGCTGCTCGTCCTCGCCTCGGACGGGAAGTGGGAGGATTACGCCGCCGTGGTTGTTACTGTGGTCAATAAGAACGATGAGGCGCCCGTTTTCTCCATGAGCGAGTACTACGGATCAGTCACAGAGGAGCTTGATGGGTCACCTGTGTTTGTGCTGCAGGTGAGATCATTACTGCTGAGGCGTTTTCTGTTATCTGCTAACCTGTAATTATCTATAGAGCGCTCTAACTTAAGTCAGCAGCTGCTCAAAATGTGTTCAGTGTGCAGCGAGTACAACTGCACATCTTTGTTTTACATGTTTTCTCTTCTGTTCATTAGCTAAAGAAGTAACATTGAATAATTATTATTCAGATGCGCGGTAGACGGCAGTGATTGATCTTGTGCAGACGCTCAGCTGCGAGGCTGTCAGCCGTACTCTGAGGCCAGATGTGAGCTACATGGCTGATCAGAGCACGTTGCTTTAATTCAGGCTGTCAGGGAAAAGTGCACACACTTAAATGGGCTGTCTGAAAAAATCTCAGAGCAAAGAAGACCTGCGTGAAGTCTGAGAGGAGATGAGAGGAAGCAGTAATTTGATGAATGAAGATCTGTTTCGTTAAAGAGGACATATGATCCCCCTCCTCCACCTTTTCAAACAGTCCTCTGTGGTTTGAATGAAACATCTTTTCTGTGCTTTGGTCAAAATATAACATGAATCAAGCACCAGAGGAGGTTTGTGACCCTGTATAAACCAGCTCTCTCAGAACGCTCCGTTTTGGTGTGTGTGTCTCTTTAAATGCAATGACCCCCAACAGAGTTTTCCCGGTAGACTTCACTCCTTCATTAGAGAGAATAAAAATGGCAGACCTGCGCAAAGGTTTTGCTCTAGGCTGGGGGTGGAGTCCATGGGTGGAGATACCAGGGGAGGAGAGGGGAATTTTTTACCAGAATCCCACTGTGACATCACAAGGAGAGAAAATTATTTTGTGGATCAGTAGACACAAATATATGTTCAAAAACACTGTAGAAGTGGATTTTTCATAATATGTCCCCTTTAAGGAGTCATCTTTTTCTCTGCAGGTGACGGCCACTGACCCTGACAAAGACGCAGACCAGGGCGCCATCCGGTACTCCATCCATGGCCAGGGGGCGGAGTCACACTTCATGATCAACGACATCACGGGGGAGATGTACGCCCAGCGCACCATGGACCGAGAGGAGCGCGCTGTCTGGCGCTTTGTAGTCATGGCGACAGACGAGGAGGGCGAGGGACTCACCGGCTTCACAGATGTTATCATCAACGTGTGGGACATCAACGACAACGCCCCCACCTTCATGTGTGCGCCCGATAACTGTCACAGCAGCGTTGCGGAGAACTCTCCTCCTGGAACGTTTGTGGTGGAAATGACCGCCGTGGACCTCGATGACGCGGCAGTAGGTCAGAACGCCATCCTCACGTATCGCATCACTGAGAACGCACGCAACGCAGACAAAGCAGAGCTGTTCACTATTGATTCAAGCACCGGCACCATTTCTGTGGCAGCAGAGGGTCTGGACCGCGAGTCTGCGGACAGCCACAGGATAGTAGTAGAGGCCAGAGACGGCGGCAGTATGACAGGAACAGCGACCGCCACTGTAGCAGTTGCAGACATCAACGACCACGTTCCCAGGTTTAAAGACGAGTGGTGTAGTGCTCGTGTGTCTGAGAGCACCAATGAGGATGCTCCAATTCTGAAGCTGAGCGCCTTGGACCCGGACGCGGGCACGTACGCACAGCTGGCGTTCAGTGTGGTGGCGGGAGACATGGAGCAGAGGTTCTACATGGTGAGCCACAGGCAGGATCAGACGGCGACTCTGATGCTGAAGAAGAAGCTGGACTTTGAGAAAGCAGGAGAGCAGCGCTTCAACCTCACCGTCAAGGTGGAGGACTCTGACTTCTCCAGCCTCACCCACTGTGTGGTGCAGGTGGAGGATGAGAACGACAATGCTCCCGTGTTTGCCCCCAGCTCACACCTGCTCCCCCCTGTGCCTGAGGATGTTACCGCGGGAACCAGCATCGTTCAGGTGGTGGCCTCTGACTCAGACTCTGGCCTGAACGGGGAGATTGTGTACAGCATCTTGCCTGACTCTGACCCCTTTGGGCATTTCTCAGTCAGCCGTGCAGGTGTGGTCACAGTGGCGAGCACGCTGGATAGAGAGACCGTGGCAGGATATGAGCTTGTTGTCATGGCGACAGACCGGGGTAACCCAGCACTGACTGGCAGTGTCACGGTCCACTTGCCGCTGTTGGACGTGAATGACAACGGGCCGGAGCTGGAGACGGCGTACTCTCCCGTGCTGTGGGAGAACAGTCCGGCACCTCAGGCGGTCTGGCTGAACCGGAGCTCCACTCTGCTTCACGTTGTGGACAGAGACTCCCCAGAGCACGGTCCTCCCTTCCTCCTCTCCCTCCCCCCGCTGCACTCTGCAGACTTCCACCTCCAGGACCACGGAAACGGCTCTGCCTCGCTCACCGCCCTGCGGAGGTTTGACAGGGAGAGGCAGAGCGAGTTCCGCTTGCCCGTGATCATGATTGACAGCGGCCTTCCGCCAATGACATCCACACACACGCTCACCATCACCATCGGTGACCAGAATGACAACGCCCACCAGGCAGGCGAGAAAGATGTCTATGTGCATTGCCGCAAGGGTGAGTTGCCCGCTCCCCCTCATTTCATTCTCTGTGTCCCCTGCTTCCCCCACTGAGCGTTTCTCTGCAGGCAGGGCGAGCATGAGGTGGAGAACTGAGGCTGCAGCTGACAGGAAAAGTGTTCGCTCCCAAACCTGCGCTGCGTAGTCTGGAATTCATAATAGTACTTTTCCTTTTACATTCCAACAGTGTTTTATTATGCTAAAATCTTTTTTCAAACCCTCCTCTCATTCTCTCTGCACATTCCTCCCTCGCCAACCCTCCGCCTTAAGCTCGTCTGAACATCACATTATGATAAGAAACTTCCTCTTCTGTACTTTCTTATACCCTCAAGGAAAGTTGGTTAGGTGTGTTGCTTTGTTAGCATTCAATCACACACTCAGCTACATGGCAGTTTTGGTTATTGTGGAAAACAGGAGTGCCGTGACTCATCCAGGCTGCCATTGTTTACCCAGCTGCAGTACTCTGGCACTGCAGGTCGATAATAACATAATCCATACTGAGATAGCCCTGCTTCCTTAAGCTCTACGCTCTCTGAAGTGGAGCACTGAGAGCCTATTCATTCCAGCAGTGGGGCTCCACATTTATGAGCATAATAAGTAGAACAGAACACAAGAATGCAAGATAAGGAGAAGAGAGGGACCAAAAGATAAGTGTTGGCATCAGCAGATTCTGTCCAGACTGAATCAATGTGTGTGCGCATGCATGTGTGTGTGTGTGCGTGTTTACCTTGAACAGGAGGGATGGCAAATGCGGCACTGGGGAGGGTGTATGCCCCAGATCCTGATGACTGGGACAACAAGACCTACACTCTGGAGACAAGTGCAGCCAAGTAAGAGCTCTCTTTTAAATGTATATCTTTTTTTTTTTTCCTCTGGAAACACGCTGAGCTTCAAATTTGCAGCACAAGAATAAGAACAAGTGCTAGAGCGGTGGGGAATCAGAGGAAGTGTCTACAGTGTGGAGTGTGAGAGCTAAAGGAGGATGTGGACTCAGCGTTGAGTTTCTCTAACACGGCCTCCGTCATTGATATCACTCAGACTCAAACATACCTTACAGGTGCTTATCTCACATCTTTTTCCCTGGCCTCTGATATATAAGATGCACTTTCCAAAGAGACTTTAATCACGGCCGTCAACAGTGATTGCCTCTCTGGAAAATGCAATCCAATGGAAACAAACCAAGGAATCTGGGTCCACGTGTATGATGAAACAGCCTGACTCCATCAGGGACCCTGTGCTGCTGTTCAGTATTCACACCCTCAAGATCAGATTAGGAATACCAATTGCATATTTGTCTTATACACATAACATATTCCGACAGTTACCATGACAACTATCAAACTCTTGGAGGCCACGAATATTTTCCTCTTCTTCTTGGCTGCTTTTCTCTTTTCTTTGTATATTCTGTTTTTTTTTAAACTAAATTCACATTCATGTCCTGCTGGAGTTAAAGCGGCTACCGCTGACCAATTCTCTTCCTGTCTGTGTGCCATCTGTCAGGTAGTTTTCCTCTGAATGAAAAGAAGCCACTTGTCTTTGTTCTCTTTCTCTCATCTTCCATTGATGACGTCCTCTCATACTCAACCGCTCCTCTGTTCCCCTCAGGTACTTCTCTTTGAACCAGAGCTCAGGAGTGCTGACCGTCAGACAGAACACTCCAGCAGGCAGCTACTGGCTGAGGGTCGGGGTGTCTGATGGGGTTTGGCCTGATGTGATCTCAGGGATCAGAGTTCATGTGAGGGAGCTGGAGGAAAAGGCCATCCTGTCGTCCGCCTCGCTGCGTCTGACCGGTAACATTAGCAGAAACGCTGACTCACCTGTTGGCTCACACACTGTGTTGTTTTAAAGCGTGCTGTGCCTGCAGCTCTGCAGGTGCAAAGATGCTGCTGTGATTCCACAATGATTTTCCCTGCTAGGTGTCATCGTGACCTCTAAAAACAATAAATCAGGACAACATTGAGTGTTTTTCAGTTGGATTCTCTCTCTCAGTAAATCTCCACACACAAAAAAAGAAATCTTCCTCTTTGTTGCAGCTGCTGTTGTTTCATTCTTTTGTGAGGCTGAATGTGAAAGCAGCAGTCTCTGCCACAAGCATGAACAAAGTGGTTCTTTTCATTAAATGATTATCAAGTTGTCACTCCGGTTAACGCTGATAATAATAGGTTGTCAGGGGAAACATTTTGGTTCTTGCATTATTTAACATTTCTCTGCTTGTTAGTTACACTTTCCCTCGGTGCCTTTTTTCTTTTTTCCACACTCTGAAGTTTATGTTGCAGTGTTCATTTTTCTGTCAAGCTCTCAGAACAAATCGGAGCCAGAAAGGTCAATTTGGAAGTGTCAGGTGAAGTCCTTGACATTTGAAAAGCCATTCAGCACAGGCCTTATGGATGCCTCAGACTCCGGGTCATTATCATTTTTGGAGATTAAGAGCGACTGCCCACATTCTCAGGATATTATTGGAAAGTGAAAACTTAAATATGATTGATTTTCCGGGTATCTGGTACAAGGCCCTGACTTTGTTTCAGTGAATAAATGAATGATTTCAGCTTGACAGCATCAGACTCGTTCACCTTATGGAGGATTCAGTGAGTGAGCGGATCGATACGGGAGATGTTGGGCTACCTCTCGTTCTAATGGAATCAGGAACTCAGCAAACTTTGATCAGCTCTGTACTTGTCATTGACGAGTCTGTACTCCTTTTTTTCATGAACCCCCCTCTCTCTTTGTCTCCTGAAGGCATCACAGCGAGAGATTTTATCGACTCGCACGTCGAGGGGAAGAGTCGACTGGAGACGTTCTGGGACTTCATGTCTGAATCGCTGTCCGTCAGACCGGGGAGCATCAACATTTTCAGCATAGCAGACAGAGAGCAGAAAACAGTGGACATCCATTTCTATGTGCTCACGGAAAACGGCTACCTGCGTCCAGAGAAGCTGCACGCTGTCCTCGCCGCACATAAAAAGAAGGTATATCTATAACGTGGTGTCTGATAGATAGAAATCAATGCTCATACATCAAGTGATACACTTTGGAGCTTGAGGGGAAGAGATAACGGGGCTTTTTATCTGCCCTTTTATTTTCACTCCAACTTTCCGTCTGTTTACCACCTGGCCCTGTCATGTCTCTTTATCGCTCTCATTTATTTCCTCTATTTGGCATTTTCTCTTTTTTTTCATCCCTGTCTTTTACCCATGTTTTGATCGTGCATCATTTTGACGCGTCTGTCATTCCTATCCTCGTGTCCTGCTCTTTGAAAAACATCCAGTTGTTGCATATTGAGAGCTTTTATGTAGATCAGGCCTTCCTCTTTTGCTTTCTGTTTCCAAATGTATCACTGTGCATCCCTCGCCACCAAACACTGGAGATACAAATCCTTGTATCTGCACTGACAATTACTGTAATTCCCACTTTTCCCACCCTCCTCTCCCTCCGCCCTGCCTCCTCTGACTCTCACAGCTGCAGTCACTGCTGCGTGTCACTGTGAGCCAGGTGCAGGTGGACGAGTGTGTGCGCTCAGACTGTAAGACATCCGGCGGCTGCTCAACACAGTTAAGCTTCAGCGACTCGCCCACCCTGGTGGACTCAGGAGTCTTATCCCTGGTGTCAGTAAAGGTGACGTCCTTAGCCGTGTGTGGCTGCGCTGCCCGGGAAATGACTCACCAAGGCTGCTCTTCCTACTCCAGCAACCCCTGCCTGAACGGGGGAACCTGCGTCGACACCCAGAATGGATACAGGTGAGAGGATCGTCTTCCGTTTCTGGAGCATGGGGGGGGTGGGGTGGGTTAAAAAGAAGCTTTTAAAAGTTATAAAAGTGGAATAGGAACTCCCTGGTGTGTGCTGCAGGTTTCTCTCTAACTGTGTTCAACTAACTGTAAAAGTGACATCTCACAAAATGAACCCCAAAATTACTAACTGCTCCCTTCAGTAGAAAAATCTCCTTCACCTGCTGCTTGACCCAACTTTCTTGTGCCGCTGTGCTGTGTTGTCAGCTGAATATAGAGCAGCAGCTTTGGGCTTTTTTTTTTTGCCGCGGAAGCAATATGCATGTTTGTGCATTTCTGAGTGTATCTTGCCAAGATTATTAAATTAGGTCTCTGGATTTTATAGCCTCATATCGATTTTTTTTAAAGTTCTGGTGTGCTGTGTTTTGCAGAAGTTAACAATAATTAATGAACATAGCCTTTGGATCAAGGTCAATACACAGCGCTTTAAATATTAACCTTTAATATAGATGAATGTCTGCCGTCAATACAAAGGCCTTCAGCTTCAAGTGTATAGGTTTCTATGGAGTCTGTGGCAGAAGAACATTTTAGTTCATGCACACACTAATGCGCAGATTAAACAAATATAGGGCAAAGGGATTAGTATAAATGCCCGCCCCCTCCCATACTCACAACTTCCAAAACTCTCATTTAATGTACTTTACATGAACGTGTAAGTTTGTCTGCAGAGGGAGAGGACGCACAGAAGTGTTTTTCTTCTGCTTTTATCTTTAAATTGTCTCTGCGGCAGCTGATCCTCACACTGCTGTGAGAAGCCTCTGTTCTCTGAGAGGAGAAATCTTCCCCTATGTGCTATATATGACCCCGTGTGGATACACTACAACCATGAGGAATCCAATTTTTGGTTCTCTCCCTCCTGTCAAAGGAGCTCAACAGACAATCTCAGTCAGGGCTGATCAGATATTGTCAGTCAGGAGAGAGAAAAACATGCCCTGCTCTTCTTGATTTGGGTTGGCATTGATCTCTTGAGCCACATGAAAGAGCAGTAAAAGGTGTTCTGCTCGCCGTATGGATGTGTATGCACAGGGCTTCACTCTGCCTAAGCCGTCCCTTTTGCTGCGTCTGGATCAGTATTCCTGACATGTGTTGCCCCTCTGCAGAATAAACAGTGACGGGGAGAAGCAGCCCCTAACAGCCTCAGCACACACACACACAGCTTCCCTCACACACGGCATGAAAATAGATGGCTTTGACATTATCAGCAAAGCCAGCTTGTCGCACATGCCTGCAGTGGAGGAAACCGGATGAGATCAACTAGTTGCCTCCATCCTTGCCACCACCGTTAAAGAATGGGCTGTTTTTCATCACTGCATGTATCTCCTCCTCTATGGTGTCTGTGTATGATTCTTAATATTAACCTTTGCGCTCTCAAACAGAAGATTTTCATTTCTACTTCCTGCAAGAGCACTGATCTTTCACCCTCTGAGCCCTAATCAAAGCAGATAAGAACAAGAAGAGGAACATGCTCACAAATCAACCAACGTGTGACTTCAGAATGAGGCTGGGTGGTATTTGAGGATTCCAGGAAATCTGCGTCAGTTCTCTGCAAAGCAAAGTGAAATAAGTAGAATTAATTATCTGTTAACAAAGGATGTGTGATGTGCCAAGTCTCCAGAGGGTTCAGTTCAGGCTGCTGTGATAGATAAAGAATAGACCCGAGTTCTGTTGTGCTCATCGCTAATTGATTTAATGTAGAATTAAATATTCAGGGCTTCCCAGCAAATGCAAGCAATTGATTGATTAAAAGGCTCTCTCTGCTGTCTGTGGAGAGCCGGCGTGTTCGAGCAAAGTCAAAACCTCAGCCTGTGGGAATCAACACGACTGTCACGCCCGACACAGAGAAGTCGCCGCGCTCCGATCCTGAGATTGAACAGCGTGAAGATGTCATAGAACACCAAGCAAGAATCAAACTGATTGTTTCTCTCTCTCCCTGTGTTGCTGTGATTTTCCTCACTCTTTCTTGTTTCTTCTCGGTGCTACAGGTGCCACTGCCCCCCGCAGCTGGAGGGGCCCGACTGTCAGCAGACCACACTCAGTTTCCTTGGCGACGGTTATGCCTGGTTTCCCCCCATAAGGCCGTGCTTTGATAGCCATCTTTCGCTGGAGTTTATGACGGAGGAGGAGGACGGGCTGCTGCTGTACGCCGGCCCGCTGGCCACGCTGCTGCCTGGAGACGCCGAGGACTACATGGCCATCGGTAAAGAATGAGGACGGATAATTAGACGCGAGCCTGTGGGCTGTTATTGCTCCGAAACATGGAACTTAATTCTGTGTGTTTAATTAGTGGGTGACGGCTAATCAGATACATGAGGCGCATTTGTTCTGCTGAGGGGGAATGATGCTGAATATGTAAAGAGTGAATATGGGGCTGCACAGGGGACCCTGTTTCACAGCTGATTGTGTGTGTAGTCCTCTATGGTGAGCCGTCTTTGTTTACCCTCCATCAGAGTCAGAGCTGAGTCTCTGAGTGTCTCATTCAAGGACACATCAGCAGGGATTATTCTTCACAGACCCAAATCCTTCAGGGGAAGGACACCAGTAAATATTTGATCAAACTGAATAGCTGATTGGTTTTAGTGATGGAGTAAGACTTACAGTATGTCATCATATGTCATATACACTCAATTAGAGTCTCATTGCAATCAGAGCTGGACAATAAAATGAAGCAATTCATATCGAAATCAGAAAATTATACTTTTTATTGTTGAAGTAATTTCCTGTTTTCAAATCTAAACCTGCTCCTACCTTGATCCAACACTGGGTCTGGCCCTCTGACACACACACACACACCCACACATGTAGCAGGTGAAGAGAGAACCGGTGGAGGGACAAATTTCTCCATAAACTTACTCGTTATGCTTTACTTCTATACATCATCAACTATTCCTGTCCATGTTCAGAGTTGAGGTTTGTCTACATGAGCAGCTGTTTCATTGTACCTCACCTTCTTGAGCCTCCGGTGACTCACACACACCACGCCGTGTGCACTGCAGGCATAAAGTAGATGCTAAAAGTAACCCATTAATATGTGGCCTACAGCATTAACAAGCACCTGAACGAGGTGCTGCTGGTAGCTGGAATACACTCATTTCAAGTCTTTGATTGAGCGTGTGGCTCGAGCGTCATGTCGGCGTATCTGTGAACTCATCGCCTATTTCTATTGATTGAAAGTTTGGAAGTCAGCATTTCTAAAATGGGGACCGCAATCATCGGCTCCAAACGCCTATTCAGAAACTGATGGGTGATGCCACTGAGACATCATCTGTTCGTTATAGAGGTTATGGTCTCACCTCATTGTGAATCTTTTCTGTGGAAATGAAGAAAGAAAGACGGCTCGCACACTGCAGGACTCCAATAGTCCAGAAATGTATTTCACCATTGTGACGTTTCGAGCACACCTGTTCTTCTTCAGTGTGCGAGCCGTCTTTATTTTTGCTTTATTGACTCTTTTTCTCGACTCTGAACCGGCTCTGAATGTTTTCTCGATTGTTGTATGGTGGGAAATGTAAGCAGTCTGTTTCAGGCGCATGCTGTAGATGGATTTATCTGACAGCGACGTGGCAGCAGTGTGGACAGGCATGACAAACTACACTATAGAAAGTTTGGCGTGTCTGGTCCTGTTTGTATTTGTAGGTCATAAAAAGGCCTCAGCATTGAGTACAGCCTTTTTAATAACCAGATCAGAACTCCTCACAGGAGATATCTGCAGGAATGTACACTGCTTGGTCAATCTTTCTTTTTGTCTTCTTGACTTCATTCGCCACCCTCCTCTTCCTCTTAGCCTCAGTCACTCATCAAACAGTACAGAGACGGACTAACTGCTTAGTGCTCTTCTTGTGAGAAAGCTGTTACCAACTGCTAAACTTAAATCGTGCTATAAGCCGACGGCCAGGGCGACATGTGGACACAGACATTATTCTGCCTGTTGAAAGTTTTTCTACTGTAAGATTGATCTTGAAGAGTTGTAAAAGTTACATATTGTTGCTTTAAGAAACATGGAATCCTCAAGCAGCAACGTCCAGTGTTCAAAAATGAAGTGCAAAAAATCGTGCATTTGCCTCGAGTGTCCACTGGAGGCTGGCTGCAGAAGCACAGGAAGTCACATACACACCCATTCTAAAAAGCCTGTTTTTACAGCAGAGATGAACATGTTTACAGCCTGGTTCAAAAAACCAAACAGGTCTGTACGGGGGGGTGAATGTGTTAACGACTCATCAGTTTTGATTTGATGAAGGATAAGAGTTATTCACAATAAGGCGTGTAGCTGACATGATTGACAGGCGGGCGTGGTGTAACGGTTTGTCAGGAGGCTTAAAACCCGCCTCAGCTCCAGCTCTCAGCCTGTCGTTAGGTTGACTGAAAGTTAGGCTGAGTCGGCATTTCCAGCATGGAGACCGCCATCGATGGAACTCCAGCGCCCCCTGGAGGAACAGACGGGTGACGTCACTCAGGCTTCGTCCTTTAATACAGGGAATCCTTCATTGAAAGTTGATGAAAACAGTCAAGGAAACATGAAACACTTTCTGTTCATTGTTTTAGTTAAGGATAATGGTGAGTTTTAAAATATCACATTAACTCAGTCTCCAATAACTTCTGTGTCTTCTGTGTCACTGATTTAATGTTGTTTTTTAACTTCCACAAAATTGGACAAAAAAATAGATTTTTACATTCACAGTGTTGGACTCGAGCCATGCTGATAGTTTATCTCTTCTTTTTTGTGCTGATGTCTTCAGATATCTGTTTCCATCCACCATGAAATAATGAAGGGGAATGCGCTTTCATTGGTGGAGAGACTCACATCATTTATTAATGAGAACTGAAAAAGTTCTGCAGCAACATCTGATTCCAGGATGTCTTGATTACTGGAAAATTCAGAGCTCCTTGTGCACCGTCTTTTAGAAGAACCACGTTTTAATGGATTTCTTTATCTGCCTGGTTTCACTGGTTTCCAGCACGTCGTTTCTGCTGATTCTTCCCGCTCTAATCCGGCGGTGATGTGACTTATTGTCAATTTCTTTTTGTATTTCATACTCCTCGTGTTTATGCGGAAATGAGAGGTTGTTGTGCCTCTCTTGGGTTTTTGTCTGTATCTGTATAATTTGCATCTCTCCTCGCCTTGTTTTTCAGTGTTTCCAACTCGACAGTTATTTATGACCTTGTTCATTTTGTCTCTACTAGTGAGCGCGCTGTTGTTCTGAACTGCCAAACTTTAAGAGTCGCTCTCTTTTCTTGGATGGAAAACTTTTCATACAGATTTAATTATGATCTTATCTCTGACATCTCTTCTCCTCAGAGCTGATTGGTGGGACACCCAGTCTGAAAGTTAACCACGGCTCTGGGACCCTGGTGCTCCAGTTGACACATAATGCCGGAGTGGCTGACAGGCGCTGGCATCGCCTGGACGTGAGGAGCAACAGTAAAGTAAGAGAAGTGCAGATTCTCCTGGTTTATAAAGAAGATGATGGATTAAAAAATTAGCCGTAGTTTTCATAGAATACCAGAATGTAATATACTCATTCATCCATACATGCAGAAGATGACCTCTCTCCACTCTCTCCTAATGTAAAGGAAGTGCGCTTCACTCTGGATCGATGTTCCACTGCGATCATCATGGAGACAGAAGGCGTGGACTCCTGGGCAATGACAGAGGACCGCTCATCCTGTGAAATCCGAGGGGTCACACCCAACAGGGACAAGTAAGATCAATAACTGAGTGGAAGAAGTGTGCAGAGAGAGTTGACTGCACGGTATAAGAAAATAGAGCTGCCCCTCTGAACCTAGTGGATGGATGGATGGTGGGTGTTCGTGTAGGTGGGTAGATGGATGGAGGATGGATGGGTGAGTGGATGGGTGGGTGGGTGGTCATGTGGGTGGATGGATGGATGGATGGAATGGTGGATGGATGGATTATGGCTGGGTGTTCGTGTGGGTGGGTGGATGGATAATTGAATGGATGGGTGGGTTGACATGTGGATGGATGGATGGATGATGGATGGGTGGTCGTGTGAGTTGATGGATGGATGAATGAATGGATGGACGGGTGGATGGATGAATGGTTGGGTGGATGGATCGGTGGATTGATGATGGGTGGGTGGATGGATGGATGGATGTATGGTGGATGGATGGGTGGTTGAATGGATGGATGAAAGGGTGGGTGTGTGGGTGGATTTAGTACCATATTTATCTATCAAAGCTAAATGAACAAACACATAAACAAAGTTAATCCCACTACAGGCTGGTTCAGTTTTTAGTTTGTCAACAATTAGGCTTTATTATTTCTCCACAGATCCTGCAGGCGGTTTTTCCTTTTGGCTGCAAATGGCTTTAGGTTATTTTTTCCTTCCCTGTTTTAAAATGTCAATGGATGGACGGCCCACGGGGACAATGACTAAATGCCCTGTGTCCCCTCAGGGGTAAACAATCTGATATAGAGTGCAGCATTGGCACTCACAGAGGCTGCAGTCTGCAAGGTGGCTGCAGTTTATACAGACAATGAACTGCATGTAGTGTGAGTGAAGTATTTATGCATTTAGGGGTTTCAACAGAATATAGGAATGGTTATTTTCAGTCCTTTCAATATTCTAATTCTCAGAACACAGACCTCTGCTTTGTTTTCTGCGGTGTGTCGCTCATCAGCACTGCGTGTTTGCGGGGCAAAAGTCTTCTAATAAGTTCTCAATTAAATAACAAGTTATGTTAACATATGACTCTGCAGTGAGAGCTGTCCAAGAGACACTTTGTCGACATGTTGCAAATCAGCCCTCTGTTCTGCTGCTCTTTCCTCAGACGTGATGGAGGGACAAAGTGATCACCCCTCTGAACCCACCTCTAGAGATAGCAACGGGATCAGCAGAGCCAGTACTACGTGTGTGTGTGTGTGTTGGCATGTCTGAGTGTGTGTGTATGAAAGCTCCTGCTGGTTCTCTACACGTTGTTCGTCCGCAATGCAATCACTATGAACATACAAATACATAATGATGGCAGAGCTTCATTATTCCGCTGTCTCAGAATCGCACTCTGAAAAGGGCTTTCGATATGTACGTTTTGTTTTTTAAAAGCTGTATATTGTGGCAATTTTTGCCTATATTAGAAGGACAGCTGAAGGGCGACAGGAAACGTTGGGAGGAGAGAGAGTTGGGGGGAGGACGTGCAGCAAATGGTCGAGGTTCAAACCAACAGCTGCTACTACTACAGCCAATAACCTCTCTACTTCTGACGCACTGCATAAACGCTAGGCTCACAATATGCAAGTTAACACCTCATGTTGCCCTGCATGTTATAAAATAGTTCCAGATGTCACTTTACCTGCTCACAGCTGACACAGGGAATGTACCACTAACGGAGATGGGCTAATGTAGCCCAAAATAATGTGTGCACAAGTGATGAAACGTGGCCCAAAAAATGACATAGGGTGCTGGAGTAATGGTACCTATCCCTAATTTAAATGCTCAGTATGTAAGTTCCACCACTAGGGGGCTCTCAATCAAAACAATAACAAAAGATGACACCGAAGCTGGTGGGGAATCATGGGAGTGATTCTCTCTGCTACTCCCCCCACACCCCGATGAAAACGAACTCCAAGTTGAGCGTAGTCAAGACAACTTGACTAAAGTGAAAGTGAAACCGACCTGAGGAAGAGAGAATATGTTTACAGACGAGCTAATATATCCGAGTATAATTTACATGACGTTTTTATCACAGCAGCACATACAGCAACAATACGGAAGCTTTTAGCAGCAGCTCACGCTTCATTATGCAGCGGTCTTTGACATTACATCCGCTGTTTCCATGGCAACGATAGACATGTCCTGCCTGTCATGGCAGCTGCCGCGACCAGACACGTCCCGTTACAACTCTAAAATGAAGGATTTCTCTGGCTCTGATAACTGTTTGAGGTGATGTAAGTACTCAACACAAAAAATATATAACACAGTTTTAGTCCATTTTTTTATTAAGTTAGATATTTTTGTAAAATTCTACAGATTCCACCTTTAATGATAGATAATAAAAGCTGTTATGTGATAACCTCCACACAACAAAGAGACCCGTCTTCATACTCTGACAGTTTCACGCTCTCTAAAGTGGTGTTTGTCTCCAAGCTGCATGGACGCATCCATCAAAATCAAATCAGAGACACACTCCCACTGTTTCTCTCTCCGTCCGTTCAGCTTCTGGGTGTACCCCTCTGTCCTCTCTGGAGGAAAAACAATCCTGATGAGTTCCTTAGATATTATCCTTAAACACCCTGCTAATCTTCCTGCCGGCGTTTCAGTTCACAGCTGCTTCAGCCTTGCCACAGAGGAGTTAGTTTCCCCCCCCCGCCGTGCGCTCGGCCTGCCACTGTGCTCGTTGTTTTGTTGTGTAATTATTCTATGAGTTTAAGAAGTTTAAAAATGTACATAAGGGCTTTACTGCTGCTATTAATTTTAATAACTTCTAAATTACAAGAACCTTGTGATCACAGGATTAGAGTTTAAACTTATTATGTTTACAAAATGTTGACTGTTTATCATTAGCGAGGGAATGTGATAAATAAACCAATTAAAACAAAAAAAAAGCAATATAAAAAACAGCCTTTGTTTTATCACCTTTGTGTGGTCGAGTTCAGAAAATGTAAAGAGCTGCAGCTGCATGACTTTGAGTTCGGATCGTTGCAGGGAAAAGTTAATTTCCCTTTGTGCATTTATGTCTGCAATAAAAGAAAAATCACAAGAATCAGATGTCATATTTGTTGTCATAAAGCATTAAGAGTGAAGGCAGCCGCAGCAGGAAAAGAATGAAAGTGAATTTCAGACTTGATGGGTTACACAGTGTTGGTGTGTGTGTGCTTACACTCGTCTTCTGTGTATCCAGAGTTGTTGTTTTTTGCACGTATATATATCTTAAGGAGTCGGCCTTTCTTTTTCTTTGCTCACCTTCCACTCGTTGGTTTAATAATTAAAATGTCTTTGTTTGCAGGTATCTGAATGGAAGCCAGGTCCTGCAGCTCGGAGGCGTCAATGAAAACATATCGTATGAATACCCTCAGCTGCAGCACAAACACTTCACTGGCTGTTTAAGAAACCTGCTCATGGACAGCAAGGTAACATCACTCACTACTCTCTTTATGAAGCCTCTTAAGGATGAATAGAAGGCATAAATCCACTGCTTCAGAATAGTCATATGTGCTTATATACAGCAGGGTCAGAGGTTTCTCTACCGCCCCCCTTACCCCCCCAACCCCTCACCATAAACATCAGCATATAAACATATATTCTTAGTACACTGTCACTCACCCTCTATGCAAATGAGAATTCATCTGAAACGTAGCCTGCAAGAAGTACAGAACAGCAACTCCCACTAAGTGATGCTGCAACATCAAACAGATTTAAAACCTGTCTCTCTATGAAGATGAACATCAATCCATCCGTTATCAATACCGCTTCTCTCATTTGGGGTTGCAAGGGGCTGGAGCCAAACCCATGAGCTGTCGTTGGGTGAGAGGCGGGGTCCCAATCACAGGGCTGACAAACAGAGACAGACAACTAGCCACACTCACATTCACACCTACGGGCTTTTTTAGAGTCAGCAGTTAACCTAGGCGCGTACATGACATGATTGACAGGTGGGGGGGGGTGTAACGGTTCGTCAGGAGGCTTAAAACCCGCCTCAGCTCTCAGCCTGTCGTTAGGTTGACTGAAAATTAGGCTGAGACAGGATTTCCAGCATGGCGGCTGCTGCTGATGAGCCTCTGGAGCCCCCTGCAGGAACGGATGGGTGACGTCACTCAGGCGTCGTCCTTTAATATTTACATTCTGTGGGTTTGACCTGCGGCGTCAAAGCGCTTTGAGTAGTCAGAAGACGATACAAGCTCAAGTCCATTTAGCATTTCTAACAAGCTCCTCTCTGTACATGCCCACTGACGTATAGACTGATCAACGTCAAAGTATGAGCACTCCAAGCTGGACTTCGTTTCACGCCTCTACCCCAGCAGAAGGATAGATTTAATATTTAATAATGCTTTCAACATCAACACAACAGCAGCACCGGCGTCTTCTTCAAAATATTTTGGCTGCTAAAAGAGTGACATTCTCGTGAGCTGCAGACAAAAGACTCCTGAACACCTGACTCCAGTGATGTCCAGCGCTTATTTATAGCTTCATTACTACTTCATCATCTCTTTACGTTATTTGTGTTTCAACAAAGCTCTCTCATGCTGTGAGTGTTCACAGGTTTATTTTGGTTTTCTTGCTTCTTTCTTGTTACATTTCTTTTTTTTCTGCGTGAGCTTTTTTTTTTATAGCTGTGACATTTAGATATCTGCTCTTTAAACTCTCAGTGATAATATATGATAGAGAAACAAGCTCGGAAAAAAGATGAATCATGATGTCTCGTTAAACAAGCAAGAAGAAAAACCTTCTCATTTTAAAGTATCTAATATTTAATTACAAGATGTTATTTTCTGCCGTCACATTCTCCTCTATATAATCACAGGGTGAGAGCTTCTCTTTTATTCCCCGCCCTCTGCTCAGGTTTATCTACATATTCTTTTCTCCTCTTCGTCTTCTTCCATTCAGATCTACGACCTTGGTTCTCCAGCTGAATCTGCCGGTACTGTGCAAGGCTGCTTTCCTATTGATGACCACTGCACCAACATGGAGACCCTCCCGTCCTGCGGCAGGAGGGGGCGCTGTCAGGGGGAGTGGGGCTCGGTCAGCTGCCTGTGTGACGTAGGGTTTACAGGCCCGCAGTGTGAAAAAGGTCAGTGTTTTTAATGGTTTTTAACTGACCTGGAGGTTTTCAGGGAGCATGCAGTGAGACTTCTGTGGAGTCACGCACTCTAAGGCTCACAAGGCGCACCATCCAGCTGGGAAATATTGAAAAAATTCTTCGTTCATAAATGTCTCTTTGCTGCTGCAGAAAGATAACCTCTGCTCGCATTAAGTGCTTCAGCAGAACAGCACGTCCTCGCTGAGATATCCTCGTGTATTTCCCACATGACAGCTGAATTAATTAAACAAGCCCTGTGTGTGTTTGATTGACAAGCGGCTCCAGAGTTCTCCTTTGACGGACGCAGCCACATCCAGTTCCAGCTCTTGTGGTCGTTGCCTGCGCGACAGAACAGGGTCCAGGTCGGGGTCCGGACAAGGGCTCCCTCCGGAGTCATCCTCAGTCTGCTTTCCCAGGAGCAGAATGAATACCTGCGTTTAGAGGTGAGTTACAGCAGGACCCTCCCCTGCACCTCGATAGCTCTGTTTGTCTTGTTTGTGGGCCTCTAAGTGATAATTAGGGCCCGGACTAGGGTTGCTGTGAATACCTGTCAGGCTGAGAGTGAGTAATATCAGGGTTGTAGACAAATGGGTGGAGACTGAGGGGGCTCATTGACATATGTAAGTCCTCGACAAGCTCTTTCAATAAGTCTGCAGAAAGCCGCCGGTGAGAAGCTGCTATTTAAAAAAATAGGCCTCAGTTATTCAAGGTTATTTCGGTCTGTAGTTAATGTTTCAAACACAATTCAGAACGACAAAAAGAAAACTGTGCGAGCTGTAATTCGAGGGCCGAGTGTTCTTCAGTGAAGGTCAGATCCCCTGCTCTGCACTTGAGGGTTTTGACACAGCCTGCTTCAAGAGCCGAGCTCAAAGTCATGTCTGCACTCTGGCTGCTTGCTTTGCCACACCTGGGGCGGAGTGCTGCTCGCACAAAGCGTTCCTTCATGAGAAAAGTCGGCTCGGCTTTGCCAAAGCACCGTAGGCACGGCTGACACATTGCTGAGCGGATATGAAGCCGGTGTTGCCTGTCAAAGCTTTCGTCTCGCTGACTGACAGGCCGGAGTGTGAACAGCAGCTGAAGTAAACGTCTGTGTTAGGACCGTCACACGCAGGTCAGGGGTGTGCAGTGAGCCTGTTTGTTCGGGCGATTCCACACCGCCCGCCCTGTCTTTGAACACGTCTTCTCTTTGTGTCTGTGCTTGTTATTTGTTGAGCAGCGTTGTTTAAAGAATCATTATCTGTTCTGCTGCTTTGTGTCTTTACGCTACATGAGGAAAAACAATGTTGTCCTCCCTGGTTGCAGCTGCTCAGAGATGGGGAGAGGAACAGGACGAGTGCTGTGCAGCCTCTCTGGAGCTGAATGAAACATGGGATGTCTGTCTGCTGAAACGTTTTCAGCCTGAATGTCTCAAAGCTCTTAGAGGCACTTGAGCACCAGCCTGTAGTGTTTGCCCACAACAAGCCCTAATTTAAAGGGCTGCCTTTCTTTCTTAAGGGCAGATATGGGATAGAGTGCACACAGAATAAATAAGCACACAGAGGTTACCAGGGGCGAGCTGGGTAAAAACAGCATGCAGCTCTCCAAGGAAAATATAGGGTCTGCAAAGACATCATGTATCTAATGAGTTTATGGAGTGACTAATACTTTGTCAGGAACAGAAATCTCCACAATCTCAGCTTGTCGTTCTCAGATTTTTTGCATTCAATGTTAATTAAAAGCGTGAGAAAGAATTCAGACCTCCGAGAATCTGCTGAACATCTTCTGCTTAATGGTGATTGTGCAGATCTGTGCAGAAAGTGTCTGTAATCAGATTTTTCCTGACTATTGATTGAGTCCTTTGTCTTTTGCTGCTCTTTGTGGTGGACTTCGGGGCAGGACGGGTGGGGGGGAGCACAGTCAGCTCTTACCCTGTGTGAGAGTCCAATGGGGGACACTCATTGGAGAAGCCCATGCTGAGGGAGCAATAGTTAACGCAGGCCGGGCAGAATGTGAATTATCTTGCCCCACTGTTTCCAATTAAGCCTTGGACATGTAAAAGCTGCCGTTATGGGGGCCCCTCATTGGTGGAGTCCATTGTGTTCGCTCATCCTTAACTGCTGAAGATAATTGTTGTTGCTTGTATACCTTCCCTTCGGGATGACTCCGGCTCTGCCACGCGCTGATGTGCACGCCGGCTCTGCAAAGCATCATAGCTGCGAAATTGCTAGATTAATTTTTTACCAGAGAAATTTTCATGCCTTTTTTTTTTTCTGGCAGGTTCACCGCAGAGAGTCTTTTCTGGGTAGTTGAATATCACAATTCTTGTTGGCCCAACCTTTGCTGCCTTTTCTCCGCCACGGGAGCTGGCCTACTTCTTATGATGTTGTTATTCACAGGATCTGTTTATGCCCATCAACGCGGCACATTATGGCAGCCGTCCAGGTCTGCCGCTTTAGAATTTGTGTCACCCCGTTCTACAGTTGTATTCACGCATCCCTTATAAGCCATGAAATTCACACTGATTCAACGAGCATCTCTGCAGCTGATGACAAAACAAAGCAGCTTGTGTTGCTCAGCCGTGCAGACGTCCTCCTTATGTGGTCCTGCAGCAGATAGAGTTCACATCTGGAGCTCGGCCAAAAACACAAAACGTCTTTATTGTTTCTTCTATTTCCTCCTGTCTGTTTCAAAGCTAAACAATCAGCTTCACTCTGTTTCTCAGGTGATTCAGGGTCTGCTGGCTGTTTTCTACAACCTCGGAGACGGAGACTTCAACGTGACGCTGCCCCACCATCGCCTTACTGATGGAGAGTGGCACCAGGTTGAGCTGGACCGGTACGGCCGAGAGTTCACCCTGAGACTGGATGGAGGCGGCGGGCGGCGGGAGGTCACCTTCTCACCCGGGCAGAGTCAGGAGATCATCATCGACTCCTCGGCCGTGATGTTAGGAAACTCTTTTCCCTCGGGACACAACCGGAGCTTCCTCGGTGGGTGAATGAATTAACAGACACGAGTTGACTCTCTGTTACCCTGTGTGCTTCCTAAAGTTGACGGACATCAATCATTTAGTGTTTTTCATTACCACTTGCTGATGCTTTCACATTTCATCGCATGCCCACAGGTGTTTGGATCCCTTAGTTAGCGGCAGCATGAGAGAGAGCGAGTCAGCGCCACTGATCTGTGTTTAAATGATGTGTTAGAGCTCATGCTTCCCACAGAGAGAGCAAACTAACCAGCTGAGAAAATATCCAGCGAAAAAAGAAGTCCACGCTGACAGCTTAGCCTCAGGCTGTTTGGCTGTTTGCATGCATGAGAGCTTGTGTGTGTGTGTGTGTGTGTGTGTGTGTGTGCTCTGCAGGTGTGTCTGTTTACTGATGCATGTGTGTCTGTATATTAGAGCTGGGAGTAAACGTGTCCATAAAAGATTTCGCCTGAGGTCTGGTGTCGAAAAGTGTCTTTTTCACGTTGTAAACTCTGTGTTTTTACTCGTCCTCGCCTCTCTTTCTTTCTGTTTTTATTTCGCCTTTCCATCAGGCTGTTTGCGAGACTTGAGGTTTAACGGCCGCTCCGTCCCCCTGGATGGGGAGCAGCCCTCGGAGGGTCTCCAGGTGGTCACTTCGCAGGGCGTCACTTTGGGCTGCTCGTCTGACGCCTGCAGGAAACATCAGTGCTCTCCTCCGCTGGTCTGCGTGGATCTCTGGAGACATCACGAGTGCAGGTGCGGAAAATAAAGAGAGCAGATAACCACATATCTACACGCACACATCCAGAGACAAGGGTTGCATGCAGAACTGCAGTGTTGTAGTACTTGAAACGGACTTGGTCTCAAGACCACTTTTTGAAGGTCTCGGTCTCCTCTTTCCAAAGGAAGCAATACCGTAAATTAATTTGTATTTGTTAGATTTTTATCCCCCGGTTATGGCCGCAACCTTCCCGGTGTCATGGTCTAAGTGAGTGACACGCCCCCTGCTCACAAGATGAAGATTTTTCAGTGATATTTATTGTCTTGGTCTTGTCTCGGTCTCAGAGCACTCTGGTCTCGGTTTTATCTCGGTCTTGTTTAGTGTGGTCTTGACTACAACACTAGCATACAGAAGACTAACTCATGATCACATCAGTAACACCAGCTCTCAACCTGCAGATTGCATAAAGAAATTGTGTGTAGACAAACAATGATCCACAGAGGCTTACATTTCTCGTAAGTTCAAGTTTAGAAATGAAGAAACGTCTTCCGTCCAGTTCCCTTCAGATCAAGCTTTAAACTTCCTCTGTGTGTTACACTTTTAGAATCAGCTGATAAAATCAGTAAAGCATGACTTTGTAACACACAGGGAATGTTTTGTGAATTAGTAACCGGTTTGAATCGAATCGTAAGATATTAAAAGATTCACACCCCTAGAGGCTGGTACCTGATGTACTTGATGTTCTTACTGTAAGTCATCAGGTCGGCATTCACAGCATTCAGACCTAAATGCACATTATAACCACCTACTGAATCTCAACTCTTGATGTTAATAAATCATTACATGTGACTTTCTAACTTTTACGTACAAAAAAAAAGAAAACTAACCATGTCAGGATCAATTGGTGCAGAAAAGAATCTGTATCATGGACGACCAGAGTTTGTGCACACTTGAAATGAGAGCGTCCAGCAGATGGCAGCTCGGCAGCGTTCAGCCTGTGACAGTGTGTGTGTGTGTGTGTGTGTGTGTGTGTGTGTGTGTGTGTGTGTGTGTGTGTGTGTGTGTGTGTGTGTGTGTGTCATATTGTGTAAACAGTGCTTAACAGAAGCTCCCGTCAGAGTGTTGACTGTCCCTTTTAACTCCGCGGGACCACTCCTGGCTTTGATTTGAGGGTGCCAAATCAGTGTGAGACTTCTCGCTGTGGCTGGATATCCACCTTCTGTGATTGCAGCACAGCCTCAGGATACAGAGCAGAGAGAGAGAGGGGGGGGCAGGGGGAGGGGATATTCAGGGCATAGTTCATGTACAAATATACTGTGGGAGTACTACTGCAGAGCCAATCTCACTGTCTTGTTTTTTCTCTGTTGGAGAACAGCTGCCACTGTGTAACGTTCAAAGAGCATATCCTTGAATCTGAAATAAGAGGTGTAACTCCTGAGGGATTGAGAGTTTCACTGTCAGCTTAGGTTTCACAATTCTGCAGAATTCAGCGCCGCTTTTATCTGGCGGCTTCCTGAGTGTCTCTTGGCTTTGCTTTTACACCCCTTTGTGTCGTCTCTGCACAGGTGCCCCGCAGGCCACCTGACCAAAGAGAGCTCCGTGGGAAAGGTGTGTGTCTACACGCTGTGCGCCAGCCGGCCCTGCCGCCACGGCACCTGTGTGGCTCACTCCCCGTCCCGCTACACGTGCCTCTGCAGCGAGGGATACCGGGGACGCCACTGCGAAGTGACGCTCGCCATGTTCCACAATGAGGACGGCAACAGCCTGAGCCTCAGCTCCATGTTCGCCATCAGCATCTGTGTGCTGGCGTTTCTAGGTAGCTATGTGGACTACGTCCTCTTTTACCTGTGGTAACAAGCGCCATCATCATCTCCGTCATGGTTTTATGGTTTGTCTTGTAGGTTTTTATCTCCACCTTGTTTTTTTTTGTTCCACTCATTGATTTTCATCCTGTTGTATTTTTTGATTTGTTGTATAATTCTTTCATTTCGTGTGGTTTCGTCTGTGACTTCCACTCTTTTATCTGTTCTGCACCCCTGCTCGGCTCTGTGAAATCTACATTCACACATCTAGTCCCCGTATTGATCTCTGGAGTTGTACCAGGAAGCGATTTCTCCACGGGAGTTTGCTGAAATCAGAGGAGCAGGAAGGGAATCATTGAATGTGTTAATTTAAGATTCACAGGGAAGCTGAAGTCCTCTTGAGAAACAATTTCACAGTTTCTTTATGTGTGTTTCTGTATTTCTCATCACCTCTGTGTCCCCTGTCTCTTCCAGTGTTTCGCTCTGAAGTCAATTTCACGCTCAGCCTTATTTTCTTTATCTCGCCAACTTATTTTATATCCCACCATCCGACCATTTTACTCGCTTGATGTCTTTTTTTTTTGCCTTACCTTCCACTTTTCTGTGTATGTTTCTGTTTTTCCCGAATCCCCCTGAATGTGTCCACACTGTGCACTTTATTTTGGATCTGTGGTCAGGGTTCACCTACAGCAACAAGAACCTCTGAAGTGAAAGCTCTTCTTATTGTCCTGCTCTTTAATGTAAGGGTTAGGGTGAGGTCGAAAGGACTCCATTCAAAGGACTCAACTTAATATCTAGAGCAGTGGTACTCAGCCTTGTTAGACTTAAGAGTCACATTGACCAATTTCTGCAAGAGCCAGAAAAATATGAAGTGCAAAGAATAATTTCTGCTGACAATGTTTCCCTTTTTTAAATAATTACTTTGGATTTTTTTCTTCAAGTAGTGCCATAAAAGAGACCTAAAATGTGGCCCTAGAGCCTCGGGTTGAGTATCACTGATCCAGAGTTTAGAGGTTGAAGTTGGAGTTTTGATACAACACAGGTGACACCAATCACATAGACAAACATGGCAGGTTTCTGTGGTCCGAGGTTTGAAGGTTTAATGTTTAAGGTTGTCTTTATTCTCCCTGTGAGGGTAACATGTTCTGCAGTCAGCAGTAAAAACATACAAACATCCAGCCAACAATCAGCATACAACATAAGACGACACTAATGATGCACTCACAATCGGCAAAGTTGTCCCCTCACTGTGCTGAAGCACGATTGTCACCCCTCCTCATTCCCTTCTGCATGGCCTGCACTCCCACTGCTCCAGGACTTACCAGGCAAGAGCACGGTTACCTCTTCAACATATAACAGTACAACACATGCATTGCTTTATGTTATTATGTTTATGTTATACACTTCTGGAAACAATGAACCAAAAAAGGCATCAAACAGGTTCATCGACAAAAATGCAAAAACATTTGAGTTATTCACAGCAGCATCTTTGTGCCAATAACTCCAAAAATAAACGTTTCCTTTGGCCGCACTATTCTGTCCATCGGGTATTTAAAAATGTGAAAGCATTCAGCTGGAGCAAAACACTCCAGCTTGCTGTTTTACATCCTCTGGAGTGAAAAAATCCCCCGATTGGCAGCCCTACAAATGCTTTCAATCTTTTTACCATGCAGCCACATGTCCTGTATCTTCATATCAACCTGCAGGACTAACATTTAGAGATAATCCAGAGCTTCTTTTCTCACTTTAATGTGCTAAAGCAGTGACCATAATTCAGCATGTAATCTAGAAAATGCATCTATGTAGTTACCTTTGATCACTAATGTCTGATTAATGTGACCGTTTAGTATGAGAGAAAGCTCAATAATGTGGTTTCTATTATAACACGCTTTAATGAGGAGGTTTGTTCTGAGGCTAAACGTTACTGGAAGGAATAGTAATGGATGCTGGGAGAAACCTTGCTCTGCCCCTGGCTATAATTCACTTTAAACCAGTAAGGTTTAAGTGTTTGCAAATCTATCTTTAGTGTTGTAGCCAATGATTCCCATTTTTAAAGGAATAATATGTAGAATTTGTACACTAAAATACCTAAATTACATTAAAAATGGACTAAAAGTATGTTAATTCTTTTTTTATAGAGTACTTACATTACCTCAAATATTTCCAACAGTTATCAAAGCCAGAAAAATGTGTAGTTTTATACACATACCGCTACATAAGGAAGCGTGAGCTGCTACTGAAAGCTGCCGTACTGTTGCTGTATGTGCTGTGATAAAAACGTCATGTAATTTATACTCTGATACATCAGCTCGTCAATCTTCTTCGGGTTGGATTTGCCTGGTCGTCATGACTACGGTCAACTCTAAGTTCGTTTCCATTGGGGGTGTAGTGGAGTAGCAGAGAGAATCACTCCCTTGATTCTCCGCCAGCCTCGACGTCATCATTATTGTTTTCATTTAGAGCCCCCTCGTGGCATTTAAGTCTTGAAATGACATCAGTGTGAGGCGGTGGTTTGAAGCTCTGATCAGGAGATCTACAGCTGTTTTAATCTTTATGTTTCATTAACAGCAGACTTTAAAAAAGAGCTCAGCGTGCAGAGTCTGTCTCTGACTGCATGCTGGGACATCAGACCACAGGTGAGTCAGGACTGACACAGCAGCCATGGGCACATTATGAATGATAAATGCTCCCACCAGAACAACAAGTATTCGATTTGGGATAAATAAGGCAAAACAAAAACCAGATGAAGTCAGCAATGAGAATACAGAAGTGTATGCTGGTGAGCAAGAGAATAAAGAGAGCGTGCTGAAAGAGGAAGTTATTGTCAAATATGTGAAAGTGAAGTCAGAATTAGGAATCCTGGGATGTGGTACTTACAAAAGTTTCCCTTTGAAGACTTTGACTTATTAGATGATCTGAGGCTGCACCCTGACATGTACCGGGGTCAGAAGTTCACAAATGTATACCATCTCCCGACCAATAACGGCGAGGAGCAGAATGATAAAATCAGGACGTGTAAGACGAGGGCTATGTTGTCTCTTTGTAGTGCCTGCACAGAGCTGAGCTGCTGAATTTATAAGGCTCGACTTTTGTAAGAGAATACAGTGTGTGTGTGTGTGCACGTGTGCGCGTGTGTGTGTGCGTGCGTGTGTGTGTGCGTGTGTGTGTGTGTGCGTGCGTGAAAAGGCATGAACTCATGGGTGACCGAGCAAAAATATTTATGTATTTAAAATCCTTTTAAAACCCATTTATGTTTCAATGATCAAAAGCTCCCTGCGTCTTCGGTGACGACTTGAGCTTGTGTCTAGCCCTAACCCCAACTTATGTTCATTAGCGTATGTTCAGTGGACCATTACTGTATCTGGTGGAAGTTCTGGGTGAGGAGTAAAGACAATAAACAAGTCCAACAGAAGGAGCCTCTTTTTCTTGCTGTTAAAAGTGTGCATATTCTCAATCTAAAGTATTGTAGTCAGATTGCCCGATTACAATGCCCGATGCATCTACTACGGCTGTGGCTCAGTTGGTAGAGTTGTCACCTCTCAACCAGAAGGTCGAGGGTTTGATCCCCAGCTGAGAAACATGCCTGATGTGTCCTTGGGCAAAACACTTAACCCTGAATTGCTCCCGCTGCTTCAGTGGTGGTGTATGAATGGGATTAGTTACTTCTGATGATACTACATAGCGAGCACTACCCTCAGTGTGTGAAAGGGTGAGAATGGGTGGGTGTGACAGGTGGTGTAAAAGCGCTTTGAGTAGTCGGAAGACACAGTCCATTTACCATTTACTGCATCTCCACATGCTGAGAATGACTCGATTGGGGCGTGACTTGCGAGAGGAGCGGAGACAGACATTTCATTACTTTCAGTCCGTAATGACCCGCTAGGTCGACGTCTGCTGCTCGGTATTATGAGGTCTCACTCTCACTATCTCTGATGTGAGTCTGAATCACGGTTTCTTATCACAATTTAATCTGTTTAAAGTATAATTAAGGTGAATGAAGCTCCTTGTAAATTTGCAATATGAAGCGAGAAAGTCAAATTATTTATTTGGGTTGACACTTCCTCTCAGATGAATGTCGCCTTGGACAAAAGCGTCTGCTAAATGACTTGTAGAAAAATAATGACCCACGTCTAGGTCTCTAGATTAATGACACGAGTCAACGTGTTAACATTGGCAGCCCTAGTGTGAATTTGACCTTTTTCCTCTCGATAACAAAACGTTATTTTCTGAAATGTGACACGATAGATAATGCCCATCAAAATGTCACTGCGTTTTTGGTGATGACTTCAAATTGTGTCTAACCTTAACCCAGATCCCAAAAATTGAATTTCAAACTTAAAAATAATACACATTTTTCTTTGGGCTTTTTGCCTTAAGTTGGACAGGACAGTGGAAAGTGTAGGAAATGGGAGAGATAAGGAAGCCGATGCTGAAGTGTTAAATCCTTCAGTTCCTCGAGTGTCCACTAGAGGTTGACTGCAGAAGCACAGGAAGTCACATACACTCAATCCATTCTAAAAAGCCTGTTTTTACAGCAGAGATTAACATGTTTACAGCCTGGTTCAAAAACCAAACCGGTCTGATTAGCTCATGTCTCGATGGACACACACTGAACGGGGGGGGTGAATGTGTTGATGACTCATCAGTTTTGATTTGATGAAGGACAAGAGTTATTCACAATTATAATAATTCAGACCAGGCAAGACACTTAACCCTGAATTGCTCCCACCGCTTCAGTGGTGGTGTATGAATGGGATTAGTTACTTCTGATGGATGATACTACATAGCGATCACTACCATCAGTGTGTGAAAGGGTGTGAATGTGTAGGTGTGACCTGCGGTGTAAAAGCGCTTTGAGTAGTCGGAAGACTAGAAAAGCGCTATATAAGCTCAAGTCCATTTACCATTTACAATAAGGCGCGTAACTGCTAGGCCTTCTGCGCCTCCAACACTGTTTGACCCTTTTCTCCAAAAATGACTGAAATATTTAATTAGTAATTGAGAAAGTTACACA